CCCCCATCTTTACCGCAGCCGCTGACGAGAAACACCCCCCCTGCCAGCCATCATCCACCACAGCGCGTCCAAGCTAGAGAACAACACCATCCGGGGCGGCACCATCTCGCACGTGGGGCAGTTCTACTTCGAGCAGGCGCTGCTGCGGAGCGTCGAGGGCAACATGCCCTACGCGACCAACAAGCAGGTCTTGACGACCAACGCCGCCGACTTCCTGTACAAGCAAGGGTTCGGCAACGGCGACAACCCCGTCATCGACATCACAATGCTGGGCGCCTCGGTCGCCGACGGCCTGCACGGCGTCATCGACGTGGGCGTCGACCCCCGCGCCGTGCGCAAGCCGCAGCCTGTCAACATGTGGACAAAGGCGGGGGGCGTCCCCGTGCCGGGCTCGCCGTGGAGCGGGTACCCGTGGACGAAGGCCGTGAGGAAGTGGCTTGGGCTGTGAGTGTGGGTTGGAGATGTTTGCGGGAGGTCGTGTGTCTGTGGGTGCAATGCGTGGGGAGGCTCTGCTGTAAATGTGGATTGGGTGAGCTGGCATCCAAGTGCTGGAAAAAGTCTGGGTAGTTGGGGATCCGTCTACCATGTTATTGAATTCTAATGAGGGCATCTGGATCTTTTATTGTAAATAGAAAGCACCAGAAGGCTGGCCGGAATGGGGAGAGGATTGATGCCCGTTGTTGATGCAGCTTGGGTCGATGTCCTCCAACTGCTTTGCTGCCGGTTCACACACCTGGATAGGAAGGTGTAGCCCTGGGCCTCCACAGTGGAAACTAAAGATGCATCCATTTGGGCGCCAGTCCTCTGTGCTTCCACCAGCATCAGGCCCTAGCGAGCAAACAAGCCGTCTTCTTCCTGTCGCCTAATCGTGTTTACAATTTCACCAGCTATGGGTGCAATAGAAATGTGCCGCTTGCGTGTTGCGTATAAAGAACTGATCTTCCGCGGGTGCCTAGGTAGGGAGCCGTTTCGCTACCCTGCCTACTAACTACACAAGAGTCCTCACCATTCTGCTTAAGACGACCCGGGGCAGAGGGTCAAGCGACGGCAGCCCCCCTCACAACCAAAACACGCCATACTTTCGTCCTCGCCGATAAAGATTGGTTGTATAGTCGGCTTGGGCGGTGGTGTGAGCGCGCTGGCCTGCTGAGAAACTAGCTTGCCATGCAAGGCACCATTGACGCCCTCGACCGCTGTTCTGCTCGGCCACGTCGCGGATGCACAAGAGGGACACGCCATGGAGACTACATCCCAAAGGGATTCGCAGTGCAGGGCACGGAGGAAATATTCTCCCAAGAGAAACCAGCGCGTTCGGATTAGAGGATTAGGTATGGTATCTAGGGCTTTTCCGCGCTGAGACTCTCAAGGCTTGGCTCTGACCTCGACGTGGCGGTACTGCCTGCGGCGCAGACGCCACAGAAGCACCATTGACAGCCAGGGTACCTTTTTGGGTCCCTTTCCTGTTGTTTGGCGGCCGCTGTCGTGCGCTAGCCGACTTGTCCACGCTCAGCTCCTTCTTCGGACGCCCGCGCCCCCGCTTGGGTGGTTGAATGGTCGGGGACCTTGCGCTTTTCGGAAGTGGCTGAACAGATCGCGGCGTGGGCTTTTGCGGAAAAGCTTGCGAGGCAGGTGTCGACCGTTTTGCCCTGCCCGGCGCCGTGCTAGCCTGGCTGCCGCTACCTTTGGCGGTTTGCACGGACGGCTTCCCTTCTCCACCAAACATTTCCTCGACAGCCGAGGACTTCCTCGGGCGACCTGCGCCACGCTTGGGAGTTGCGGCGTCCTCTGCATTCACAACAGACGGCTTGGCCGCGCCTGTCTCCTTTCCAGAGCGTCCTGCGCCACGTTTGGGCGTTGCGGCGATGTCGGGCTTTGTTTTAGGACGACCCGCGCCACGTTTGGGAGCTGTGGTGGCGACCTGTTTCTTCCCTGCTGATAGCTTGGCAGCGTCAGGCTCTTTGCGAGGCCGGCCCCTCCTGGGAGCCGTGGTTGCGGCGACGTCCCCTGCAGCCAACTTAACCGCGTCAGGCTGCTTGCTGGGGCGGCCACGCTTGGGCATAGCGGCGGCGACGACTTCCGCCCGGACGAGACGCGTTCGCTTGTTCGGTGGCGCGTCTTGGGGCGAGGGAGGGTCGGCCCCGCGCTTCAAGGCGTTCCTGGCACTGCGGCGGGGCGCCGGTGGCTGGGGAACGTCTGGCGCTGGTACGGCCTCGGCGCGCCGGCTGCGAGCTCGCGGCTTCCCCTGGGTTTGTCGGGGAGGGGCGGCAGCGGCATCCGAACCACCACCAGCACCATCCTGGTCACTTTGGCCGGCGCGCTGTAAATCGACCACAGCCTCGACGGGTTCTTCCTCGTCAGGCATGGCCTCGTCATCCCCATCCGCGGCACCTTGCTCCTGCTCTACCCGACGCGCCTGCACCGCCTCGAGAGCATCATCAATCTCCTTCTTCATCCTCCGCCATTCTGAGGCGCCGCCGTCACCAAACAAGCTTTCGTGTTCTGGCATCGGCCCAAGTCGCTTCAGTCGTGCGCGGGGGGACAGTGGGGGCGGGGTGGGCCATTGGTCAGGCAGCTCTGCTTCGTTTCCCTCCATCGCTTTCAGCGCAGCCTCGATCTCCCGCTTCTTTGCCAACCAAATTTCCCGTTGCTCAAGGCCTCCAACGATGTAGATGTCAGGCATCGATCCAAGTCGCGCGAATCGGGTGCGAGGGGACGGAGTGGGAGAAGGCGTCCTCGAAAAGGCACCGGGGTTCTTGCACTGCCCGACTAGAGGCTTGGGCCCATTTTGGACCCAATAACTAGCAGGCTGTTGGGGTCTAGGAAGGCCGATGGTTTCTAGCTCGTCGACCTCGGAAGGGGTGTAGGAGATGCCCGGGCTTGTCGGGGTGTGCTCACGCTCTGGCGAAGGGGACTCATGGCGCCACTTCCAATAGCAAGGCGCTCCGTCATCAGCCAGCCGGTACTCCCCGTTCTCCTCCCAACGCCGCCAATGCTCCAACTCGATCGTTTTCCAGTACTTGGGATCGTCGTTGGACGAACGGGCGAGTTTCGTGTATTCCTCTTCGAGGTCAAGGCGATAGAGGAACCAGGGCCTGGATATGAGAAACGACTCGGCTTCGGCGGTGGATGAGTCGGGGCCAAGGCGTCTACGCGGGGTCGCTGGCACCCACTCACCGCGCCGCAGGTTCTGGCGAAGGCGCAGGGCGCGCAGGGCAAGCTGATGTGTCTCTTGAGATATCGTCTCTTGGTCGGCGTCCTGGCGCTCCCACTTCCACCTCCAGTCGCCAACTTTGTCGCTAGGCCGTAGATTGCGCCCAGGGAAGCCCCATTCCGGATTCCAGATGCCGAGCTTCTGCCAGCGGCTTTTAATGATGTGACGGGCTTTGACACCGCGTCGCCGCAACTGCTTCAACCTTGTGCCGCTTTTCCCGCGGGTGGGAAACTTGGCTAATAAGTACCGGTTTAGCTCAATGCTTGACTCGTCTAAATACATGGTGCGAGGTCTTAGTAGGTGCTTCGCGCGGTCTGCTGTCTGGGCCAGCTCGTCGTCATCCAAAGGGTGCTCCATGACCTCCGGCAAGCTGGGTGACAGGTCCACAAACGTGCTCTGTCGTGGCGGACTGTCATGCTGCGGGCTCTCCGGACTCTCCGGACTCTCCGGATACGGTTCTAGTGCGATGTTTCGTTCGTCTGGCTCTTCAGACTCGGTCGAGGACTGGTAGGGTGGAGGAGGCTCGTCGGAGTCGAAGCGCCTGTGCGCGCGATCGCGCAAGTGTTCGTTATTGGCGAAATCCTCGAGTTCGGGAACGGCACAGTTCTGGAGAGCGTCGACAAAGTCGGCCATACCAAAATAGGGAGGCATTTTCGCAGAGGACTAGCCGGAGCGTGCCCTTGACGGAAACAAGGGGCTCCGCATATCGGTTATAAAAGAAGTGAGAGGAAATGTACAAAGAGCCGCGGCTGCCTAAAAGTGCTGGAAAGGGCACGCTATCAATTCCTGGCCATACCCTGTACCCGCGCAAAATGCATGCGCGATGCGCCCGGCGTGAGTGGCACTCCCCGCGGCAATTCATTGGGCCATATCAAGCGCCCAGTGGTTTGGGGCTGCACTCGTTGACGCCGCCCAGTCGGCCTGCCACCCCTCGGATTTAATTGCCCGCCCTCTTCGTCGTCGCCCCCTTTGTTCTCGGACCTGCCCTTCCTACTTTCGAAGTATGTCTCTTGCGACGACGGCTGCAGAGTTCGTGCCGTATTCTCCATTAGGCAGGACGGCATTGACGACATTGTTTTTCCCATCCTGCCAGGGGTGTAACCGTTGCCTCATGTGGCGCAACGAGTGCGGGCTGCTCGTATTTGTCATCGAGAAATATTGGGCGGCTACGTACTCAGTACTGATCGCACAGACCCAACCGACGGTGTAGTTGTTGGGGTCCGGCATGATTCCTAGCACTGGCGGTTTATGGATACAGGGGAATAATGCTGCGCTTTGATGAATGGAAAGAGGCACAATTACAGGGGGGATATCAGGGGGGAGGGGAGGAGTGTTGTCGACTACAAAATATTCATTCCGTCGGCAGAAGATGTGACTTTTGACACAAGCCTGCGTGAGACTTCTACTTGACACAAAATTGTCAGGCAATGGATACCTACCGCCTACCCGCGTTGGGCATCAATCCTTGCTTCCGAGGCATGCGTTGGGTAATTGTTCGTTCAAAGCCCAAAAGTGAGTATTATGCGCCAGAGACGTTGCACCAATACACGTGATGGCAGCCGGATGTGGTAACGTCACCACGGCGAAGATAAAGGAGCTGCGCCCAATGAGCACAGGCGGGTGAGCAGTCTTACGATGGAAAATGTATTCTCAAACACCAGGACGCACAAGATTCCCCTAAACGGGACCCAAAAGCTGCCAGCCGTACTTTCCATGTCCGCACCACTGCTTCCTCGCGTCGAAGTCCAATGCGAATATCGGGATCGACCCATTCTGCACTGCCTGCCCGCCTACGCAGAGAATGCCTTCTCAACCTTGGCATTCTCAGCCTTGGCCTTGACGGCCCGGGCGGCGAGGGCCGCCTCCTGGCCGGGCATGAAAGTGGTCCCTAGGGAACATGCGAGTTAGCCTCTGCCATTGAAGCGTGAGGAAGCGACGTGGAAAACTCACAGCCGTCAATGTTCTCCTTGACAATGTCCCGGATGGTGCACTTGCTGGCCTCGGACATGGCCTGCTTCTTGATGGAGCCGCAGCCGTCGTAGAAGCACTCGGACTTGTCCATGGCGCGCTGCAGGGAGTCGCCCTTCCACCTGTTGTTGTTCTGTCAGCACCAAGGACACATCTTCAACTCGGGGATGGCCCCCACTTACCCAAACATGTAGTCGGCGTGCGTGCCGGCGCCGGTACCCTCAAACGACCAGGTGAAGGGGTTCTTGTCGCGGGCGGGGTCCCAGTTGTTGTTGAACTTTGCCGTGTCCCACTCGATCTCGAAGGCGACCTGGGGCACGCGAATCGGGTGGCTGGCCGGGCAGTTTGGGGCGTTTGTGAAGCCCTCGCTGACGACCGTGTTGTACATGTGGTCCTGGTGGTTGGGGCTGTCGAGGTTCTTGCCGTCCCAGCAGGGCGGGAAGTGGTGCGTGGTGAAGATGCCGCCGGTGCACTTGGTCTTGGGCCAGTCCTTGACGATGGCGCCGCGGTTCATGCCGCCCGCCATGCACTGGTAGCTGAGGCCCGCGACGGGCCTCCCGGCGGTGATGGCCGGGTTGCCGACCGTCATGCGGAAGCCCTGGGGATGGGAGAAGATTAGCGTGGGCCCCCGGCGAGGGAAAAGCTGGAAACTTACAGGAGGGAAAGACTTGATGCGCTGGCGGTTCAGGTTATCCCTCGACAGGTCGAACTGGGTGTAGTAGACGGTCAGGCCGCCCTGGGCGCCGTTGGAGCCGCCGAGGAGAGGTTGGACTGGCTTGGGCATGACGCGGTGGTAGGTGCCGTTCTTGGGGTCCTTGAAGTACATGTTGGCAACCCAATAGTTGGAAAAATCCTCGGCCATTTGGCACGTTGTGCAGGTGGCCCTCTCGCCGACATCGCCGGTCCTATGTTTTGGTTGGTCAACCTATACCTCTCGCCATCTGTCTTTGTTTTGGAGAACCCACATCGTGGCATTGAACGCATTGCCGCCCACAATCATGTGAAGGTGCGAGGAGGGGCGGATGCCAGGCTGGACGACGGGGTCAAGCCGCTGGGTGGTCAGGGTCGAGCATGGGAAACGAAGGCCTGCCTCGGCAGAGGCCATCAGGGCGGCCCAGACGCCAAAGTACTTCATTTTGGCGGGTGTGTTCTTGCGGCGTGGGACGAAAGGGACGGTCTCTGGTATCAGGGCCTCCTTTGAAGACGGAAATTTCCACTGAGGCGTGAGAGGATACGACCGCCAGCCGGACGAGGAGAGGCATCATTCGTTTATAAAGCCTGAGGTGCGCGGTCGCGCCTGGACTTCGGGGCGTGGAGAATGCTTGTTCAATCTTGGCCATCTGCCGGATATGGCGAGGAAGCTTGTATATGCAAAAAACCCTATTGGCCTATCTTTACCCAGCTTCATCTATATAATCATATGTGGCAGTGGTGTGGCCAATCAGAAGGTGCTTTTACCCAAACGACCCTGGCGGCAGTTCCATGGCACGAGCCTTGTCTAAATCTGGGCAAATGCTGAGAGGTCTAGATGCTGCTGCCGCGTATCTTCGGCCGCTTCTCGGCGACGACTGCGTGTGGCCAATCAAGCACTTTCGCTGTGGCCAGAATTTAGATGGCCTTGGTCGTCAAGAGTGTGCCAACGCTGGTGCCCGACCCCACCGTGAAAAATTTCCATGTCCCTCGAACTGAGGCAGATGGAGATGCCGATATCTGGATGCCAGGCCTCATCCCGACGCTTTTGCTCGGCGAGCTGCCATTGGTCACGGGGCGTTTGCGGTTAGGCCAAGCCTTTCTGCTGCCTGTCAGCTCTCCGAATTTATGTCTGTCTTCGGGTCGATCGAGATGCTGGGACTGATGGGCGTGACTCACCACTCGCGGAAGTTGGACGATCCGTACGGCCGTATCTCGCAGGTGGAAGTTAGTTGACGTCTTCGTCGTTGCGAGCGAGGCTATTTCCCTCTGGTAACCATATCTATGTGCTTTGGCATATTGGGGATGGTAGTGCTATACAAAGATATCCAAAAGGGCGCAGGAGGGGTCCCCGACGGGGGCGACACCAAACGCATCCACATACGCGGGCAGAGGCGGACTCGGGGAGACATGCAGCCGGACAGGAGGTTGGGAAGGGGAAGAAAGATATTCAGGAAACTAGGCCTAGGCGCGTGCGCACTATGTAGCAGACTGCCCGCAAACAAATCACGCGTCGTGCACGTCGGCAGTTTCCTGTGATGGCGAGGTGGTTCGGACTGTCGCACCGAGAGCACGGGTTGCAGGGGTTGCAGTGCATGCGCCCCACCCTGTGGGCGTGCCTCACAGCCTGAGCCAATCAGCCACGGGGTACATGGAAAACTTGGCAATTTTAGGTAGGTGCACTCGGTCCTCGGCCCTTTCTGTCCAATCCTGATGTTGCAAATTCAAGGCGACAGCCCTTCACCTTCCTTTTCCGTCATCTCGTCAACGTCGCGAAGCGACGGAAGTGTAGGTGGTGCCCTTCGAGAGACCGTCCCAGGACCCAATCCAGCCCGGGCCCCACCGAAAGCCGCGCGAGGGTCCCGACAGACGAGCACAATCGCAACTTGGCCTGCGGCAATCGACGCGGCTCCGGCTGCAAGAGATGCCAGTGTGGCCAGCCCGACCTGGCTGTACACGCGGTTATCCTGTACCGGAACCCTGTTCGACGTTTGGACACCAGCTCTCTGTATCGGCCGGGAGAATTAGCATCGCAGCAACAGTGACACTGGCAGCCCTCGAAATCACTTACGCCAGCCCGCTCCTCTCGCTCCACTGTACAGTAGCGAATGTCGCCACTGTCCGTCGTGCTGATCTCCAAGGTGCTACTTCTTGTCTCGGCCTTTTCCAACGACCGCAATGGAGCACCTTGGAAACCGTAAAGTCGACTTTGGATGTCGGACAGGATGCGGTAAGTGTGGTGGTTGAGAAGGAGATGGAGGATTGACGTCCTGGCCTCCAACGCCTGCACCAGTCCCAGCAGCGTCGAGTGGCGGGCCGAGCCAAAGAGAAAAGCGCTGAGGAAGCTGTAGCGCTTCCTGGCCTCGTTCGAAACCCGCACAGCCAGGGCGGAAATGTCGATCAGGAGGCTTGTGATGTGCCTGTCCGTTCCGGAAAGCAAAAAGGCTTGCCAGTCGACGCTGTCCACGACCATCAGGAGCAGCTCGATGTTCCGTTGGTGCTGGTGGAATGAGGGCGGCCTGTTCCTCAACAAGCTCACGACCCCCCACAGGATCTTGACTGTTGGGCCGACGATGCTGAGCAGCTGGGCGACGTTGGCGGCCACGCCGAACGCGCCCATAGGGTCCATGTTCGCGGGTGTGATCCCTGGGAGAGCCGGCTCCTCAGCCCATCGCGTCGTCGGTTGCAGCGGATGTGCTGAGCCACAGTATCGAGAACTTGTCTGTCAAGACGCGCTCGCTTTATGTTGGACAACATTTCCTGCTTCCTGCCCCTTCTATCAGATCTTGGCTGGTGTTGGGGCCACATGGCTGCAGGGCTACACCTGAAGGCTCGGGCCTCGCTCTGCGCCTTTGCTGCCGTGAGAGCCGGCGCTATGGACCATGTCACGCTTGACTGTTTGTGACTGCCCAACTAGCGCTCGCTGGGGCCGCCTGTCCAGCGTGCCAGCGTAGGGAACAGGGCCCAAGGAACGTCTGGACCGCGCACCAACGGGCATTTCGATCGCACGTCCATGCTCATGGGAACGCCGATGGGACATCTCTGTGACATGAAGCTACGCGTCCTCGGACTGGCGGTTGGGGGAGCCGGACCACCGCCGAGTCGGCCGCTGAGGCCCTGACACTGCGCGGATATGTCGTCTATGCCGGTAGCTACTGCCCCGATGTTTCCCAGCCGCAGATTACCCGGAGGCACACGCAACGGCGAGCTCGACCGTTGCGTCCAAGTATCGACCATGGCCCTGTGTCTAGATGCCGCCCTGCCGTCCCCAACATCAATAGTCTTTCCCCTCCTGCGTGGATAAAGGCGTCCTCCCTGCCGATTCCGGAAATGGGAGGGCGCACGGCAGCAGGCGACGCAGCTTCGACCATGGCTACCAGTTCGGCAACCAATCTGATTGCCTTGCACGGACGACACTCATGCATCTTTGCACACACTCTTTTTTTTACCACCCTTTCGTCGTACTTCTCCGCCCACTAGTGTCCGCAAAACGTCGGCATCGTCACTCACATTTCAGCAACGCTAGCAATGTCCAAGACGTGCGCCATTTTGTGCGCCATGTCAAGGCCGAGGGCCACGCGACGCGCAGGCTGTCCAAACGCATACTACATGCTCCTCCCCAACCTCTCACTCCAGCCCCTGTTCAGAACCACACCGTCAAGTCGTCAAGCTTCATGCGGGGCGTGTTCAGGTACATGCCCTCGACCTCGACGCACCGGGCCGGCCTGCCCACCGCCTGCTCCGCGAGCGCCATCAGGCTGTTGCCGCGCCTCAGCTCGTCCCAGCCCTCCTCGCCGGGCCTGAAGACGTGGCGACCCTCGGGGGCCTTGCCCGCGGCCAGCACGGCGGCCAGGACCATGGCCTTGACGGGGACGTAGACGACGTCGAGGAAGGTGACGTGCGCGAGCGTGTCGACGCCCAGCTGCGACGCGTACTCGTACTCGTGCCGCAGCAGGCACGCCGGCGGCAGCGGCGCCGTGCGGTCGCCCCAGACGAGGTTGACGATGAGGCCGCCGCCCGCCTGGACCTCGTAGTCGAGCAGCTCGACCGTCCGCGTGGTCCCCGGCGACAGCAGCCTGACGCACGACCCGAAGCGCGTGTGCGTGCGCAGGTACCGCTCCGCCGGCAGCCGGTCCGGATACGCCGCCGCCGCCGCCGCCGTCAGGCCCTGGCTGTCCCGCCGCCCCGGTGGCAGCAGCAGCAGCGCCCGCGACACGGCCTGCTGCATCCGCACGGGCGCGTAGTGCGCCGCCGGCAGCGACGGGATCTGCACCAGGTTGCTGCTCGACTCCGGGATCGGGATGTGGTCGGGCGGCGGCCTGCGCTGGGCCGTCCGGGTCGTCTCCTGGCCTGGGGGCTCCGGTCGTCGCTTACCGCCGGCCGCCTCCGACACGTCTTGGCTGGACGCCTCGGGGGTCTGCTGGCTCCCCGACGGAGCGTATACTACTGTATGCTCAGACTCTGCCGGTGAGAGGGCCCTGTCCGGCGCGTATAGGACGGTGTTTGTTGACGAGGACCGACGCGTCATGGTTCCCGCGTTCTGCTGTGTTTTCACGGGCATCTGCCCGGCGCTTGCGGCCTCCACGTATTCTGTGCCCGACATGGCCGTGTTGTCGTATGCGGCTGTCCCAGAGCCCTGGTAGCTGGCCGTCACTGGGTTCTGGTAGCTTGACGTCGCCGAGTTCCGGTACGTTGATGTTGCTATATTACCTACATAGCCGGTTACTGGAGGCTGATAGGTACCTGTTGCTGTGCTGCTATACCTCCCCGTTACCGGTGTCTGGTATGCGGCTGTTGCCACATTCCCCCCTTGGTTGCCCGTCGTAGCCTGTTGCGCTGCGCCCGCTGCGTTATGGAGGTAGCCACCAGTAGCCGGGGCTCGATACGTGTCCCAGGAAACGTTGGCCATGCCGGTAGTTGCTGGCTGTCGATAACTGGCGACAGCTGGGGCTTGCCAAGTTGTCGTTCTTGGATTCCCGTAGGCAGTCATGGCGGTGCTCTGGTAGCCGGACACTACAGGGGCCTGTTGGCCGGTTTGTGCTGCATCCGCGTCGTAAATATCATCATCGTCATCATAAAGACTATCATCGTTTTCTGGCTCATCCTGGTCGCTCATCTCCGCATCCTGACTGCTTGACATCTTGGAACGGTCGAGAGTCGCAAAGCCCCCTTTTTTACGCTTGTGTAGCTAAAGCCACGAGGACTACTTGTTGGCTCTCCAGGGGGTGGCTGAGGGATTGCTGATGGTATGCAGAAGGGGTCTAGCGCGTGCACAAGGAGAAGTGTAGGATGGCCCGAGTACAAGCTCGAAATCCGTTTTATAAAGTAGATGCATCCTCTGGTTCGTGTGAACGCGCACTCGTAACACGCTGTGTCCCTTTTCGTAAGGCTGTCACACTGTGTCATACCTTTTTCCCCGTTTCCTTCTCCGCGATGGGAGTTGTTGTTAGCACCTTCGTATCATGCATGATTACTATCATACAACGATTGCGCGAAGAAGTGCGTGAAACTGCTTTATTTTATAAGCGGACGGTAACATTCAGGTGATAGTGTATGGCATGTTATCGTCTCCTCGAAGCTGAGCTATGTTGGCGACAGTCGGGGCTTGTTACGTCTGTTACAACCCCTGAGCTGGCCTGGCTAGCTACTAGGATATGTAACGCTTTGCGAGTTGTGGCGAGTTTGTCAGTAGCGAGACGATGCGACAATGCTTTTGCGGTTGGTCTTTGGGAAATTGCGGCATACAGTAGCGGCACGATAAATTACATCTTCATAGCCTCCTACCCTCTAGCATTTAAGGCAGTACGCGTCCCCTCAAGGCTCGATAAAACACATGCATCGTCTAACGCCTTTTCCAGGATACGCAGGAGCTTCTCCTCTCGGCGGCTAGCCGTCCAGGCAAGAGGCGGCCAGGGGGTGGTCAGCACTTAAGATCGGAAGTGGAGGGCGCGCAACACGGCCCGCCGAGGCCGCTGTGGTCCATGGGCTCGCAATGCGGATACCTTGGAGAGCGTGCCAGATGCTAAAGTGCAAGGGAGGCATGCATGCGCATCGGTTCCTCAGGGCGGGCGCCGCAGACCATCGGACCGGCGTGGAGCTGCAGGCCGGCGCGCGGCGGGGTGAGGGCGAGGGGGAGGGCGAGGCGGCGCCGTGGAGCGTGGGCTCTGCAACATCGTGTGCACGCCCGAGATGACGAAGCTCGTCACTAAATCGACCCCGGGCTCCGATGTGCTCGGCGCGGCGGTTTCTGGGCTCCGGGTGTGAGAGGGTCGCGTCGCCGCCGGCCGAGCCCTTGGGGTCGCCACGGCTGCCGGTCGTGTCGTTTGGTATTCTGCCGAGGGGCTACGGTGCGTGAGAAGAGCCGGTGGTGGTTGCCTTTCGGCAGAGGCGTTGGGCGACACCACCCTTCTACACCGGATCGGGTTGTGCGTGACGGCCTGGATCAACCAAAGAGTTCTGCCCACCGCAATGGCCCGGACGCCGGACCACGGTCGCACGACTGTCGTCCCGTTGGGCACGAGCCATGGCCGGTCCGCCTAGACGCAATAACTTTGTGTTGGTGACGGCCTTGACGGACCTGTCTCAACCCATGAGCCCGGAATGGCACGCCGATATCATTGGGCGACAGCGTCCTGTCACAGAATCGGCCTGCCCGCGATAGTCACTAGGCCATGCTCCGAAGGTGGTGTTTCGTGGCCGTGTCCTATCAGCCCAAACTGGATTCGTCAGCTGGGGGTACAGGTGTGCCCATTCATAGCCACCAGGCCCCCGCAGGACCGCACCACGTCCACGTGCACGCGCACACCGAACCCGACCCGACAGGAGGGTTGCGCGGACGGCGCCGAGATGGGTCACGCTGGCGCCCATTGGGGGGTCGTACTCGCGATGCGGCCGTAGTGCCAAGTGGCACGACGGCTGGCGACCTGTAGGACGTGCCGCGGGTCGCGCGGAGTAAGGGCGGCAGTATCGAGATGTCGCATATTAGCGAGCCGAGGGGCGTCGAGCTGGGTGCGGAGGCATGGAGGAATCGGGGCGCGCACAAGAACGAACTAAGGAGGGTGCCGAGGTACATGGACCATGGAACGGCATTTGACGACGACGTCGCGCCGTTAGGGTTTCGGGGTTTGCTGCCGCCTAGTCTCTCGCCCGCCACCAACTCTCGGTTTGGACACCGGCAACAACGGCAGCCAAACTTCACACCCGGGAACAGGAAGTCTAATTCAGGTTCAGGGTATATGCTCGTTTGTCACGAGAGATTATGGGCTCGCTCGCGCCCACATGCTCGCCGGGCCCTTTTGCCTCCCAATTTCTCCGGCTTCGGTTGCCCGGTCGGTCCATTGCCGCCCGTGGTAGCTCAGCTCTGCGCCCTTTTCTCAGTCGGTGCCTGGGTGGCATGGAGTCCATCATCTTGGCAAAAAAAAAAAAANAAAAAAAAAGTAGCCACAGGAGGCCGATGGCGTTCTCGTCCATTCATCGGTATTGGTCGCCTTGTGCCCGCCGCCGCGGGTGGTCGTGCCATGAACGATGACGGAGCCGCCGCTGTCTGCGACGCTCTCCCCACCAGACGGCAGCTACCGGCGGGGCCAGCCGCTGCACCAGCACCGCGTCCCCTCAGCCCGTCCGGCCTCCTTCAACACTCGGGCAGCGTGGACTCCGGGTCCCACGCGGCGAGGGGCGACTTCGACCCGGAGTTCATCGCCCAGGTCAAGACGCAGAGCTGGTCATTGTTTTCGGTGTGCATGGTCTTTATCGTCCTGCGAATGTATGCAACCCTTCGGCGTCTTCCTCCGACACGGTGATGGCCGAGGACGGCACTTCGGCCACCACCACGACACCAACCTCCCCTCGTCCCGACACGGCCTTGGGATATGGCAGCAGCTGCTATCATCCCATCCCGGATGGTGGTCTCGGTGGGGTCCTGTCGCCGGGCATCAGAGCTGACAACACCTTGCCGGCCGTCGCCACACAGAATATCGAGGATAAAAAGGCTAGGCATAAAAACCTGCAGGTGGACGACTACCTGATGGTGTTGGCTGGGGTAAGCGACAAGCCCAAAGTTCCCCCGAAAGAAATACCAACGCCCGCGCGGTCCAACAGGCATTCTACACAACACTGGTGGTCACACTCAACCTCACTTGCCAAAACGGTGGCTCGAATCTTTACCCACCATGGACGCCACAGAACTTCACAGACCAACAGATCAAGGATCGCATATTCGGGTCCAAGCTTGTTCTGTACGTCTCGCGTCAGCCGAACACCATACTTCCCGGCCTGCCGCTAATCCTCCCACTCGATGCTGACGTCCAGAGTCAGCGAGCAGTCCATGCTCAACGTGATATATACTATTAGGGCCTGCATGCTCGTCATGTACCGACGCTTAACGCTTGGCCTGACTGCCTAGAGGCTTGTAAAGTACCTTGGCTGGTACGTCATTGCGGGCTACACCTCAACGCAAATAGCCTTTTTTGCTGGCTGTCGGCCGTTTTACAACTACCGGGCCATGCCCGCCCCGGATATCCAGTGCAACACGCTTCTTATTTACAACATCATCCAGGCATGCTTCAACATTTCGAGCGATTGTTTTCTGCTATGTGTCGTAATCCCCCTAATCCTGCAGGTCAACGTCCCCTGACGCCCTGCTTTTTGTCTTTTCCGTGGGTGGCTCCGTTATCATCGCCGCCACCCTAACCAAAATCCTTGGCTTTTCCAACATTTGGGACCCAAACTACATGCTCTGGTACATGCGCGAGTCCTCGGTCGCCATCTTCGTGTCCAACACGCCCGTGATCTGGCCACCGCTCCGCGAACTCTTCCCCTGCCTGCGCTCCCCGGCCCCCGGGGGCGGCCAGCGAGGGCCGACGCCCCGCAATGGCTTGGGCGGCAGCGCCTGGGCCGCGTCGCCGTCGCCTTGGCGCCGCAAGCTCGGCCTTTGCACCACCAGCGTCGAGTACAAGACAGCCGCCGCCGCAGACGACATGGAGATGTGGTTGAATGGTGGCATCTGCAGTGGAGGCGCGTCGACGGCTGTGAGGCAGCAACACACCTCCACCGGCTCGTCGGCCAGCTCGGGCGTCGAGTGTGCGATCCCAGCCAGGATGGCGTCCTCGGAGCCCCCTGGGCCGGGCCCCACGGGGGAGCAGCGGCCCAGCGGCAGCGCGGCCGCGCCCACGCCGGCGCCGACGTTGGCCCCGGGTACGGGCGTCAACACGGCCGAGGTGATGGCGCTAAATGGGACGCCCAGCAGCGAGCGCCGCGGCGGCGGCGGCGGCGCGGCCGACGAGCGGAACCTCATCTTTCCCCCCGTGACGCACAACCCGCCATCCGACAGCAGTGGGGCCGGCGGCGGCGGCAGCGCCATCATCCACGTCGTCTCGACGGTCGAGGTCCGAGCCGAGGAGAGGACGCGGAGCAGCTCCATCGTGGTCATGGAGCGCGCGGGCAGGACCGACGTTTACGACTGGGAGCGCAGCGGCGTGTCCAAGCACCGGGTAGCCGCGCACGGGGCTTCTACTCCGACATAATACCACAGCGATAATCCCGAGATACTCGCTGCGACGGCTCGAGGGGAACGTGGCCCTGATGATGACGTCGACAAGTGTGGCGATACTGCCGGCTCCAGACCCCTGCAATGTTCGGCCCGCGAGCGTTGCAGACACATTGGTCGCTGCGCCGCATAGAGCCGAGTCGCCGAGGAAGACTACACTGGAGGACAGCATCGTGGGCTTTGCACCCGTGTACAGCGCGGGTGCACCCCAGACCGCTGCGGCGGCGGCCCAGGTCGGAGCATGCGGTCCCGACCCAGGCGTAGCCCTGCGTCGACCCTAGCTCGCGCGTGATTGTCGGCAGTGACATGGACGTCCATGTTCCGGACCTCCTAGTCGTGCGGAAGGAACTCAAGATTGCTAAAACCCCAGTTTTTCATGGCTACTGGTTTCGGCTGCTGGTGTGATGCTGAGGAGGGCCACGCTCGACGCGTTGCTTGGAGTGTACGTGTCTTCGAGGATACTGGGAAATACTAAAGGAATTGAATTACTTAAAAAAAAATAAAGCATTGAACAGAACCACGTTCAAAAAATGCATTAAATTAAATCATGTTTTAAAAGCGGCAGCCAAGGTTGGTAAAATTCAGCCCCTGCAACTTTCAAGAACAGCACCCTGGAAAACCAGCAACCTTTAAAATCAGCACCCAACCTTTTAAAGCGCGCGCGTAGTACGATCCTGTATCCGGACAATACGCGTTTTGCTTCCAAAGCTAAAGAAAAAGAAAGTAAATCTATTTTATCTATAAGGCAATCCAGCTTCCTGGCCGGGACGCTGTCCGAAAATGCCGACAATACGCTATTAAATTTCTGTGAAAATAACTATTTCTCTCTTTTTCCTCTCCCTGGCCTGTGGTTATTATTGCTTTTTTGCTCTTTCCACGTCTTTACACGGATAGCCCCGCTTACTGACCCATTTTTTCTTGCCATGATCCCTGTTCAGCATGTCCCCATCGCGCGGTTCTAGACTTGCACGGTCAAGGTGGCTCGGGAGTACTTCACGTCTGGCGTGCTGTCTGCGCCGGGCACGATTTGCGAGGTCGACCAGCAGCCGTTCGCACCGTCTCCTAAAGACGGCTCGACGGCGGTGGCGGCTACTGCCGCTGAGATTCACAGGCGGGCTTTCTTTTCGGCGGGTTCTGGCGCTCATCCCATAACCCAGAGCTCCTAGCTTTGTTGGGGATGTAATCATATATTGTCATGTTTAGGGAAGCCAAGAACCAACGATTACAACTTTGAGCCTAACAACCGACGGACACACTTGATGCTCTCGCGAAGATGTCGCGGTAATAAAGCAGTGTGTGGTGTGAAGGAACATGCATTTCATCGTCGTATTACTTTGGCAATGGGTAGTATTATCAGGTGAGAGCATATTAATATTTTATTGACGTTTACCAACGAAGGGTTTCTGTGAACTTTATCGACCGCGCCATGAAAAACGGTGGCCACCGGTATCGACATCAGGCGGTAAAGTCCATGCATGGTCCTCTCGCAGCAGTCTCTAACAAAAAAGAAAAAAATAATGCTCTCCAAAATGAAGGCGCCAAAGTGGCAAAGGATCGACAAGAAGGCAAAAAACCACGACCACATCTAAAGAACGACCGGCTCGCCCGCCCTGTGCATTGCAGCACACGGCTCGTAATTAAATGTCATCTCTGTTTGACCCCAGTGTGGGATCAGATCCACGCCCGCCTAGTTGCGCCACAGCCTCCAGCAGCTGAAGCCGTCGATGTTGCCGTTGCACCCGACTGGAGAAAATGGGGGAAAACAAGTCAGCACTGGAGAAGCTAGAAACATAATGACCAAGGAGATCGGATGGGAAGATTTAGCGCAATTATCATATTACATACCTGTAGCCCCGCGCTTGAGCGTGACGAACTGTCCGCACGGATTGGAGCCACTGTAGCGGCTGAAGTCGAGCTGCTCCCCGCCGACCATGTTGCGGCTTGCAATGCCGAAGCTGAAGAGCGTCACCCCGGGGGACTGGATGTTCTGGTTGTAGTTGGTCGGGTCGCTCCAGTAGGCGGTGCCGCTGCAGCCCTGGCCCGTGAATCCCGTGATGCGGATGTTGGCGACCTGCCGGCGTGCAAGCTTCTGCGGGGTGGAGAGGGTGGTCTCATCGATGTCGAGCTGCGCCCGCATCCAGGCGAAGGCCTTTGAGCCGGGCTCGGCCTTCTTCAGGCCGTCGGGGAGGGAGGTGAAGTCGGAGGGCATGGGGGCGAAGATGTCGACGCCGAGAAGGGTGGCGTTCTTGAAGGACTCGACCTCCCGGGTGGCCACATCGCGGAGAACCAAAGAATCGGGCTGCGCGACGAGGGGGCTCGCCGCGGCGAGGAGAGGGAGGAGCCCGAGGGCGGTAGCTGTAAGGCCAGAGAAGTGCATCTTGATGGGAGCGAGGGGGGCTTGAATGGAAGGGAGCTTGTTGAGTTCCTTTGGAGTCTGGTGCTTGGTAGTCTGAAGCTGCTGGCTGGAGAGAGGATTTATTTCGGATAGATGAGAGGGATATCGTTGGGTTTATATAGAAAACTCATCAACATATTTCCTGCCCAGGACCTTGGACGCCCTTGCGGTAAAGATCATAACGAGATAGCGCACAATACTTGCAGAAACATGTCGCTTCAAGGGTACATCGGAGAGACGGATGCATCATTCCCATGGCACGGTTCCACTCCACAGCCCGGCTCGAGCGTCTCCATTGGATTGCCGGTGAACTTGCAACTAAACGATATACATATGTACCCGTGATAATGCTACAGTGTCGTCGGCGATTACTTGCATTCTTTCAGCTGTCATTCGCTTGGGCCGTTCTTGCGTTTTTGCTCACAACGTACGGGTCCTTTGAATTCTTGTTAGACCTGCCTGATCGGGGCATATGATGACCTTGCAATGTTACCTGGACGAACTGCATGGAGCTGAAAACATGTCATTAGTGGAGCTGTGCGTAAGCTTCGAGGTTCGCCTTCCAATGAGTTTTTCACCGCCTTGCGGAGGATGACCTCGGGATTCAATTTCAGGTGCAGCATGCCAGGCATCAGTCAATATCAATAAAAAATCCTCAACCCTGACATAGGTGCACGCCAGTGGTTCCTGGGCTTTTGGCCGATGCAGCACCACATGCGGGTCCCCGACGTCGGCTTAAGCGATCTCACTACCATGCTGCCTAATGTACGTGGATCTTATCCAGCCAATGGCGTGGTCGCGTCTGACTTGCTTTGCGGACTTTGTGCACGGTGTGCCTAGAACCGGGACCCTTTTCCTAACCCTTTACCGGGTCGTTCCCGATCCCATTGTTAACCGCCTGGGTCAGCGGGGGAGCCAGCGGGGGAGCCAGCGGGGCGGCGGATATGATGGCCATAACGGACTAGTACGCGTTCAAGCTGGCGCTGGCCGAGTTCCTGCTCCGACGGCTGCTCCAGTTTGCCCAACAACCCATTCATGTTCCCCTTCATATCTGCCCGCGAACGCCAAGACTTTGGCTGCCGCAACAACAAGCCGCAGGGCCGCTTCGACGCCTACTGATCGACCCGGACTAGCATCCGGCGCCACATGCCGACCTCGTACGACCCGGATATGAGCCCCGGGAGCACCATTACGCCGAGGTAAGCCGGCTTTCCCTCGGCTCCGCCCTCCTAACTACCGTCGGCGTATTTTGCTTCAGCTGGCCCAGTCGTACCGGGCGATGCCTCGTTTCTCACAGTATTACAGACGCCAGGACTGAGCGCCGACTGCGGGCGGAGGACCACCGCGAGGCTCTGGCCGGGGATTCTGAGCTTGAAGGAGCTGCCCGGGCTCCTGCGCACCACCATGCCGGGCCTGATGCGCTTGTGGAAGGGCAGAGCGGTGAGGTCTCCCTGCGGCACCACGATCGCGGACGGCGACCCGTCGCCGCTGGGAGTGAGCTTGCCGGCGCCGCCACCCAGAGACACTTTGGACCTAAGTTCCATTGGGGCTAAGGGTAACGCCTACTAATAGTTAAAGCTTTTTTACTTAAATATTTACGTTCGAGCGACGTTAAATTTAAGCGTGAGGAAGTTCATGTTGCCACCCGGCTATTGTAAAGGACAGAGGCCGAAGACAAAAAACCCAAATTGCAAAAGAAACATGATAATAAAGGAGCGTCCAAACCGTCTCGGCTGCTAGTTGCAGTCTATTTCCAAGTTCCTACTTGCATGCATCTCCCTCCATTTCTCCCTCCAACTCCCTGATCATACGCTCATCACTCGGCGCCCAGCCAAGTTGCGGCAGCCCGTTCACCCTCAGGATCAAATCTTCTTCCTCGAAGGCCCCCCTCACGATGTGTGTGCCCGGCGTGCTCATAAGTAGCACCTTGATGGTGGCGGGCACGCTCCTGTCCCCGGCGAGGTGTATAAGGCTCAGAAACGCGGGCAGCGCCTCGTCGCTCAACTCGTCCCGCTCGAACAGGTACACGCCGTCGATGATGCAAAAAAGCGTCACCGTTTCAGGCAGCTGTCGCGCCAGCCAGCCCAGCAACTGGACAAGCCCGTCGAGCCCCCCTGCTTGCAAGGCCGGGATGTCGACGTCGCTGCACATGAGCCGCGTGTCGAAGGCGTGCTGCCGCAGCAGCTGGTCGATGAGGCTGGCCAGCATGGCGCGCCCGCCGACGTGCCCGCCGGCCTCGGCCGGGTCGATGTGCCGCCCGCAGAACCACGTCGCCGACAGGAAGCGATCCTTGGCCCGCAGCGCCTTGGTCATGGTGGCGCAAAAGACCGACAGGGGCGACACGCCGGCGACGGTCTCGGGCAGGATGGGATCCCAGTGCACCAACAGCTTCGCCGAGGATGCCGACACGACCCATCTCTGGAATGGCTGCGTGTTGACGATTTGTTCCGCCTGCGCGCGCTCCCGCTCGGGCAGGTGCCCCTTCCTGTCGTTCACGAAGGCGAGGTCGGCTAGGTCTAGATCGGCCGTGTTGAGAATTCGCCGCAGGCCCTCTGGACTGATGTACGGGCCCATGGAGGGTTGCGGCGACAGCTGCTGCGGCGGCTGCCACCAGCCCAGCGGGGATGGCGTCGCGGCTCGTAGCCTCTCGTTCGTGATACGGAGGTGCAAGATCTCCTGCCGAGCGGCTTCGAGCTGGCCTACAACCGAGACATTAGAATGCGTTCCCCTCTTCCACAATCTCTTTGACTGCAATGCGACTCACGGTCCTTTTGCACCCGGTGCTCTTCAAACATGTCTTTGAGTGAGTTCATGCAGACGCTCGCGTTTTCCTCCATTTCTACTATTTGTCTGTGGAACCTTCGCGTCTCCTGGGAAACTTTTGTGAAAAGGATGAATATGTTAGACTTTTGTGGCCAAGTCCTCAGCGTGTTAAGGGAATACATACACATGTGGAACTCGTATATGTGCGACTTTGCTGCCTCCTCCATGAGACGTGCACTCTTCGTTTTGATCGCGTCGAGGCTTTTTATCATGCTCTTTTCATAGTCACCCGCGGCCACTATGGCCTTGGCGCCCCTCCAAACTTCATCGACATCATAAAGTCAGCTGTGCTGTTGGCTTGGGGACAAAGGGATGGCGTCGGAAAAAGGAACCGTGACCCACATTCGTTGCTTATGAAGAAGCCAATTGCGTTCTCGATCGCGACCAGCGTAGTAGCTACCAGGTCCACCGAGGTGCTCCGGATTCGCCCATCGCCCTGGAATGTCCCCAGAAACAACTCAACGTCTGAGAAGAGAGGGATAACTTCATCGAAGGCGCTAATGGCCATTTGGCGCACATCCGCGGCGGTCTTGACGGCCTGTGGTATCACTTTGATTAGATAGGCAGCTATGCTAGTCGGCATACACTCATCGCCGCCTCTGGAGTCTGGACCAAGCTGGACTCACATCCAAGATTAGTCCCACGGCAGCCAAAACCGGTGTGGCAATGGGGTCGCTGGGGGTAGCCTTGGTGCCAGCCTTGACCGCCCCTGCTAGTGGCGCAGCGTTGTTGGCCACTGTCCGCCGCTTGTCCCGCAGCCAACCCACTGGCCCTCCCTTTTGCTGATACTTGGCCCGCGCCGCTTCCAGCCTGCTGTAAATCTCGTCCCAGCTGTCCGGGCTGCGAATGCTGTAGTCAGTGCTGGACCGGCCCTGCGGCTCCTTCGTCTTCTTGAACTCGGCCACGGCGTCGGGAAAGATGGAGTTCCAGAACGACATGACGTTGGTGTTTGCCCAATCTGGTCTGGGTGGGGGGCCGTTGCTGTCCGGAAACGGTCCCGAACCTTGGTCGTTTGGGGCATACGGTACAGGTGCAGCGACCTGGCTGTTAGAGACGTGCTGCCCGGAGGTTGCGCCGTACCGCTTGGTGATGGGGGCATATTGCCCGGACATGGGATCATACTGTACCGGCGGGTCCATAAACATTGAGTGCCGCTCTTTCAAGTGATGGTCAATGTAGTCAACCGTCACAGGACGACTGAGTCCCGGTATAGAAGAACCATGGCCCGCCATACCGGCGGTGTTGAAAGGAAAGTGGCGAAAGGCTGTCGGGATGGTTAGGGCTCGAGGGACCACGCCCATGTAATGTGTATCTTTATCATCGAGCTTGATGCCAGGACCTCCGCCATCTCGTGGCCGAGTCGAAGACCGTATCTGCGGGGTAGGACCACATACGCTGTGTGACTGGAGAGCAAATGCTGTCTCGCATGGCTGAAAGTCATTGGCTGCCTGACCATATTTACTGCAGGAGATCGCCGACCACATGAAAACCAGAAATCGCGCAAGCTTTTTAGGCGAGCAAAAAGGCGCTTGTGCAGTGAGACGTGAGGGGTAAGCGGGGTGTCCGAGGCAAGGCTCTGGAACCTGCCTACCGGGTGAGCACACATACAAGCATATGAAGTACCCCATTCCAATGTCCACGCACTAAAGACGTCCGACACCTCATTTCTCAGCAGGATTCCCAGCCATCATCGTCGCACGGTTACGGCCTGCTGCTCTTGGATCCTTCTGCTTTAAAGTAGCATTCTCATTGCTATATCCTACGCCTCCACGGGTCCACAGCCCAGCTAGCAGACCGGGACTGCACAAATGTCGTCCGGTGACGCTAGCCTACCCACGGACGGGGCCGAAACGGACGGGGCCGGGACGGTCGACTCGACCTCGGGCGATGCGACACTACCCCCGCCGACGTCTGGCCAGGATACTGGGCAGGACTGCCCACCGGCAGGGGCCGGCACGTCTGACACCCCAGTTGAACACGGCCCGAAGCTTGCAACAGATGTCGGCGGCTTCGCCGATGAGATCCAGGCGCTGAAGACGAAGCTCCTGGAGCTCGAACGACAAGCCCAGAACAATCCCGCACCCACGGATGGGAAAGGACAGCGACCTCAGGGCATGGACGATCTTGAGGAATATAGACGCATGGAAGCCTGTCTCAAGAATCATCGAAAGGAGTGGGAGCGTACGGGGGGGCCCGGGTGGTGGGGTATCCGCGATTACACATCCCGCCGATACATGGAGGATGGACGAGACCTACGCAGTCCAATTAAAATCCCCTAGAAATATCGACAGGGCCGCGAATTCAAGCGCCCAGGTCTCCTCCAGCTCTCTCGCGAGGTTGCAGACGGCCAGGAGCATGGCTACGCTGGCACGGATGATGGGTTTGATGACATCATTGACTACGGTAGCCGTCGGGATAGGCTCCGTAAGAATTTTGAGTGGGAGATGGATCGCCTCTACATGGAAGAAGAATGGGACAGCCGCAGGAAGGAACAGAAGGAAGCGGCCAAAGAGCGGGACCGTTTCGAGGCAGAGGCAAAGGAGGGAGAAAAGCCACTCGAGGGAAAAGAACGGCCTGACGAAGGCATGCAGACCGACGCTGTGGAGCCGCCTCCCGTCCCCGAAGTTGTCCAGCCCCAGCTCAAAAGGCTAGACTGGGTTGACTTCAAATCGCTTGCCAATGCGGACGAAGACCTGGCATATCCTATATCAATTCTCATGGGCGAGCCCGAAGTTGGCGAGGAGCTTCGTGGTAGTCGGCGCGTGTACGGTTTCTCGGGCCAGGTCCGCAAACGGGATATCGCCCCGGATTCCAAGCCCTCCTCATCCATGCTGCCTGGGCGGATGCAGCTTCCTGAAAGAGCCCGGATTCACTCTAAAGCCCTTCTTCACATCCTCGGCATCATCTCTGGGTGGGCAACTCGCTCACATCCTGTCGTCCTCATCAGGCCATTCAAGGCGCTGGCTTATCACGAGCGGGCGCTGCGAAACTGGTGCACCGCCCTGGAGAAGAAGTTCGAAACAGCGCCAGAGACGAGTACCGACGTCCCAGCAGCAGTGGAGAGCACAGCAAATGATCCGCCCAAAGACGACGTTGCCCCTGAGGCACTGGAGAAGGGGTCGGGCCAAGTCTCAGCAGACGTTACTGGTAGTTCCGAGAATCCGGCTTCGGCGAGAGGAGAGTCACTCAAGGAGAAAGATGAAACAGGTCATGACTCGGACACGGACACGGACTCGGACATGGGCTCGGGCTTGGACCCAGAGTTAGACAAAGTGGCCAAGTCACCGATGGCTCTGGAGCACCTGAAGTGTCTCCTAAGCTTCGTGGACTCGGACATATCGGTAAAGAAGGCATACCTCAAGAGCCCCGACTGTCGCAAAGTGTTCTTCTCGGACCTCTGGCACCTTTTTAGGCCCGGGATGGAGGTAACGGGTAGCGACGGAAGACAGGCCTACAGGGTCATCGACGTCACTAGCGCCAAGCACCGCGTGGCCCCCCGCTGGGAGAGGTGGTACAGCGACTTGGGGGAGAGCAAGAAGACGCCCCCCTTCAGAATTACCTACGTTTACATCGACTTTGACGGTAAAAGCTTGGGACCCGTCCCCAAAGTCTTCAACTTTAGGAAGTTCGAGGGTGAGGTCGACATCACATCCTTGGAGGTGTACCCGCTCCGATTCCACCCAGCCAAGAGGGCCGACTTTACCGATTCTGAGTGGGAGAAGCTCGAGGCCCTTCCAGCCAGCGAGAGACATCGACAGAGGCTCGTACGCCGGGGCGCCAAGTTCCTCCGGGTTGCCGGCGTCAAGCACATGTACTACGCCGGGCCAACGCTGGAGGCGCGTGACGAGGTGGAGAGCCCTGTGGTGATTGATTTCGAAACTGCCTTTTCTGTTGACGACCCGGCCCTACTTTTAACCAAACCCGAGTTAAAAACAATGGTTGGGAACCCCGAGGCCAAAGACAGCGACAAGGATGCAGCAGGCGAATCTTGCATGGCTGAATGTTGCCGGAGAGAAGTCGTGTCCGACGACTCCGATGTGGACAAGAAGCAAAGAGAGGACTATGTCAATAGCCTCCTGCCCGATGCGGGAGCCGTGGACGAACAGCCATCGATCGCCATCATCCCGCGGCCTTTGAAAGAGCTGCGCACCGGCAGAGATAGCTATCTCGTCTCCGATGATGAGCTCGTCATCATGTCACACCGCGTCTTTGGCTTCGTCCTGCGGAGTCGCAAATGGGGCAAGTCATGTCTCCAAAAAAGAGTCCTTCACAGTACCTACCGTTTTGGCTGTGCTGACCAGAAGCCCGCGTCCTAGCCAAGCTCGATCTCTCGCACCTGACCGATATCCATCTCCCGACGGCCGAAGAAGGCAAGGACCAGCAGGGCGAGGCCGGGGACAAAAAGAGCAGCACGGCTTTCGACCGCCTCGTCCTTGAGGAATGGCACCGTCCCATGATATTGTCGCTCATTGCCCAACATTTCCGAGACAAGTCGACGGTAGGCCAGAGGGAAGAGTTTGACATTGTCAAGGGAAAAGGTACCGGCGCTCCTGCATGGCTCCGGGCTCTAGCCGACAAGCATGACTGACTGGTGTGAAACTGTAGGAAAGGGCCTGATCCTGCTGCTCCACGGTGCCCCTGGAGTAGGCAAGACGTCCACGGCTGGTTCGTGCTGAACAACACGGCCCGGCCGCGCTCCCCTCTCGTTTAGGCTCCCCATACTAACCGCCGTGACTGAGTAGAAGGAGTAGCCGAAATGTTCAAGAAGCCGCTCTTTCAAATCACATGTGGCAAGTGGGAAGCTTGGCTCGCACTATTTGCACGTCTCAGAAGCAGCCGCTAACCTTGATTCTTGCTTGTTTCGGCCACTAGGTGATCTCGGTACCACCGCAAATGAGGTTGAGAGGGCGCTAGAGACCAACTTTGCGCTGGCCAACAGGTGGGATTGTATCCTGCTCCTCGACGAGGCTGATGTCTTCCTAGCTGAGAGGGGGAGAACGGACTTCCAAAGGAACGGACTCGTGTCAGGTCAGTCGGGCTACAGATGCACGGCCTCACCCTTACTGTCTCATGGGCAACGCTGACAGGCTATATTAGTCTTCCTGCGCGTTATGGAGTACTACGCGGGCATCCTATTCCTAACGACCAACCGCGTCGGCGACTTTGACGAAGCCTTCGCGTCACGCATCCACCTCAGCCTCTATTACCCCGAGCTGGACAGCGACAAAACGGTCAAAGTGTTTGAGCTCAACCTGCACATGATCCGGGAGCGCTTCGCCAAAAAGGGGCGAAACATCGATATTGAGGAGAGGGCCATCGGCGCCTTCGCCGCCAAGCACTTCGCCAAGCACGAGCAGGCGCGCTGGAACGGCCGGCAGATCCGCAACGCCTGTCAGACGGCCTTGGCGCTAGCCGAGTTCGAGGCCCAGGGCAACAGCCACGAGGCCATCCTGCGGCCCGACGCCCGCGTCAAGCTGGGCGTCGGGCAGTTCAAAGTTGTGCGCGACGCCTACCTCAAGTTCTCCCAGTACATGAACGACCTGTACGGGACTAACCCGGCCCGCCGCGCCAAGGAGGCCAGGCTGCGCGCCATCTGGGTCGACGAGGACAACAACATCGTGGCCGACCCTGGCGGCAGAGCCATGGACAAAAGAAGCTTCGCCGCCGCGTCCAGGCTCCAGCCTCAGGCCCCGCCGCAGCATTTCCAACAGCAGCAGCCGTCCCGCATGCAGGGGCAGCACTATGGCTACCAGAGCGTCGCGGCATCGCATGCGGGCTACGCCAACACGGGCCACATAGCGACAGCACAGGCCGGCCAGCCCTGGGAAAACCAGGGCGCGAGGGCTGCTAGTCCTAACTTCAACGTCAATGTTAACCCCAACCCCCAATACCAAGGGTCCTGGGAGGGACAGAACGACCCGATGGCTCCGCGGCAGCAGCAGCCGCGGGGAGGGCAGCTTTACGACCAGAACCAGCACCAACACCAGCAGCAGCAAGCCTATTCGGCAGTGCTAGAGCGGGGCATCCAGGGCATGTACGCGCCGTCGGGCCCACAGGCCGCTGGGCAGCTGCCATCAAACAACCCCCCGCCGGGTAGTGGAAGCGCCTATTCCCCGGGGCCCGGTCCTGGGCAACAGTGAGCAAGGGCTCCGAGCCCGGGGCAGTGACGACGAGACCGGCATGTGCACGATTTATTGCTGGTGCCGTGTTTTGTGATGTTCCTTTCTCCCTCCTCGTCTCGCGCCAAGTGGATGGCGATTGATCGTCCATCAGTAAGTCCATATTGCTTCCACAGCGAAAAGAAAATATCCACTATTGCAAAAGCCATGTTTATTACGTAGCGCATCATCAATGACAGGAAATAGTAACCATTTTCCCGACGTGGGTATCTCTCCCTTTCACCACAACAGCCTTCATGCCCTGCCTTCGTATGCCTGTCCATGCCATCCAATGTTCTTCTGCCACCCACACTAAATCCCGGCGCAGAAACGGTTATTCGTAAGCCAGGTGCACATGGCGGTGCCGACGCAGGTGCAGCATTTGCAAGCCTGGGTTCGTGTTAATTAGTAACTCTTCCCACATCTAAACAGGGCACGCTTTGAAGCAAGTCCCACCTTTCTCTTCCGGTCCTGATCGTTGGTGCCCTCGATACAGGTCAGCGTCCGCGTGTTCCAGCGGAACTGGTTGTAGCAGGCGGCGGGGTTGATGACGTCGGCACATTCATCCGTCTTGACGAGGTCGGCGGTGCACACGGGGAACTGCTGGGCCTGTCCTTGCGCGAGAGCTGCCCAGAGGGCGAAGACGAGAGTGGCTAGCTTCATATTCTATTGAGCTGATGGGACGGTGAGAACTCGGACGGGTGACAAAGGAAAGTTGTCATTGCTTGGGACAGAACGGTGGGTGCAGAAGCAGTCGGCTTTTGTGCCAGATGGTTCACGAATATCATCGGACTGTCTAGGCATTTTGACCACAACAGCCGATGAGAGGGACAACAGTGCAAGAACAAATGTCGGCGCCACTCGCTTGTCCAGATATTAACGCGATATTAGGCGGCATCGTCCAGGTGTCCCATCCCCACCACCCTCCTCCCCTTTTGGGATTGATCCAGCGTGTGAATGATACATCCGACTTGGTCGGGCCGAGGGTGACGCGGCAGGATGGATACCCAGAAAGTAGGCATGGCAGCGGGAGAAGTCGACTGCCGAAAGGCGAGGCCATGGCCGTCGATATTACCCTGCCGCCACCAAGCAGCCGACTCCGCCCTGAACGAGCCCATGTGCAGATGCAGCGATATTGCGACAAGATAAAGATTGACCCGCAATTCGGGAGTGCTGGTGCGTGTACATACGGCAAGTGCGGCAATGTGCTGGTCTCATCTCGCGCCGCCACGGCAGTCATCATGATAACAATGGCCTTTCCTGTCCTATTTGGCTGCCATTTCACCCCTTCGCTCCGGTCGCAGTCTAGTCGTCTACACAGACAACAGCACACCACCCACAACACACGACGATGAAGCGCACCGCCGTCGTCACCGCGGCCCTCGGGCTGTCCGCACCCGCCAGCGCGCTGCTCCGGTTCGGCTGCTCCCAGCTGACGGTGCAGCGCCTCGACCCGCTAGTCAACCCGGGAGAGACGCCGTCGACGCATCTGCACCAGATCATCGGAGGAGTAGGCAGCAACGGTCCCTGTCGTGGGCGTGGGACATGGTCGGTCTAACATATTTAACACTGTGCCGCAGAACTCGTTCCAGCCGTCCATGGAGCCCGGGAAGCACGACATAGCGGCCAGGTCGACGTGCACGACGTGCCAATTCACCGAAGACTTCTCAAACTATTGGACTGCGGTGCTCTACTTCCGCGCACGCAACGGGACCTACAAGCGGGTGCCGCAGCTGGCGCAGGCCGGCATGGAGGGCACCAACGGGGGCATGGTGGTGTACTACATGTCGGACGCGCTGTTTGACACGCAGCAGCGGTCCAAGGTCACGGCGTTCAAGCCGGTAGGAAGCCAGCGCGGGCGCCCATCACCCCCTAAACCAGGCCACTGTGTTTTAATTACTAACCTCCTCACGCAACACCCCCAGGGCTTCCGCATGCTCGTCGGCGAGGTCAACTACCGCGACCGCGAGCAGGCGCGCAGCTTCCGGCAGCTGACGTACACGTGCATGGACAGCCAGGCGTCGCGGACGCCCGAGACGATGCACTTCCCCAAGACGCCGTGCCGGCTGGGCATCATGGCCAACCACCGGTTCCCGACGTGCTGGGACGGCGTGAACGTCGACTCGCCCAACCACCGCGACCACGTCGCCTACCCGGAGTCGGGCACCTTCGAGTCGGGCGGCCCTTGCCCCAAGACGCACCCCGTGCGCATCCCGCAGATCCTGCTCGAGACCGTCTGGGACACGCGCCAGTTCCAGAACAGGAACGAGTGGCCCGCCGACGGGTCGCAGCCGTTCGTGTGGTCCAGCGGCGACCCCACGGGCTTCTCGCACCACGCCGACTACCTGTTCGGCTGGAAGGGCGACGCGCTGCAGAAGGCCATGGACGCGCACTCATACGTCAGCGCGCCCATGCTCAAGACGCAGACCATCGCGCAACAGAACAAGTGCACCGTTAAGGACTACGTCGGGGAGAAGTTTGACGGCTGTAAGTCTGGATGCTATAGGCTAATTCCGACGCTCGCTTGCCTGTTGCTAACCCGTTATAATCGGCCGCCATAGGGCTAGCCTCTCTGCCTGGAGGCTTGCAAGCGCAGTAGAAGGCGAGGATGGGCGAAAGAAGGACAGCTCGGGCATGGCTAAAAGAGGTGGATGCTTTATATTCCCCTATTGGAGATTGTGTATGTGATCAATGCTGAATATTTCCAAGTTGCATGGAACAATGTAATCTATCGTGACCTGTTTAAGACATTTAATCGTTACATTCGGGGGTTAGGTACTCGACAGTGAAATCGGGCGGGCTCAACTGACCAACCCCGCAGATCTCCACGGAGGTATGATGTTCACTAAAAACTCGTCATCAATTTTTAAGGCACACCCTGATACGTTGTCCCGTTGTCGTGCTTCTGGCTGTCGCAATACGTTACGTTTTTCGCTCTCATTCGAGAATTCGCCGCCCGGCCGTGGTAGCCCGCCATTGTAGGTTACATTTCTCATGTAGTTCTGATATCAGAGGCCCGGTTGAGGAATACATATTACGTTTGCCAGTCTCTCAGCTCGGCCCTCCCTCGTCATGAGTGGCATTGACACAGTCCCCACCCTCCCCAAGGGCGCGCAGCCATGTCAAGCCAAGGGCGGGGTGCAACGGCAACGGACGGTATTAAAAATCGTATTTTCCACCGAGGGACATCCCGTTGATACTCCCATCTCGAATCACCAAAACGAAGAAGAAAGTAGAAGGCCGACCGATCATGACCTCGATAGACGATTTCCCCAAGCCCAAATTCGTCACGGGCGGCTGCCTCTGCGGCGCGCTCCGCTACCGCGCCGACTTCCCGCCCACACACGACTTCGGGCTGTCTGTAAGCTGACCACCGTCCCCCGCCTCCACGACACGGCACTGACCGCCACCCCCCACCTCGCCCTCCCAGAGCTCGACCTGCCAGTGCACCCAATGCAGGCGCAACACCTCATCCCTCCTCTTCGTCTGCCACGAGGTCAGCCCCTCCGACTTCCGTCTCAGGGGCGCAGACGGGGAGTCGGCCCCGCCCGCCGACGCGCTCAGGGAGTACCGGGCCAGCGGCAGCGCGACGCGCGCCTTTTGCGGCCGCTGCGGCTCGCTGCTGTACTGGAAGCCCGACACGTCGGACCGCGTCAGCGTCGCCGTCGGCACTGTCGACCCGCTGTTCCTCTGGGGAGAGGGCGCGCCCGGCTCGGCCGAGGCCAGGGAGCACGCCGTGCCGGCGGGCGGGTACGCGCGGGCGCTGGTCGGGGCGCCGGGCAGGCACTTTTGGTGCGCCAACGAGATTGCGGGCGTCACGGACGGGGCGAGCATGAAGATCATGGCGGGCGGGAAAAGGGCCATGGGTGATGAGTGATTGCGTTGGATTGAAGCATTTGGGAGGAGTGGCTACAGTAAGCAGATGGGCTGCGGTTCAATGCCATTGAGGTGTGTTTTGACTGGTGCTTCCCCTTGAGCTTGGCCTTGGTCGCTCTCCGAAGATGGTCGCAGAATGAAGGTGCCAATCCTGCAATAGACATTGGCGATGGATGCGTGCTTCTTGGGGATTCCGCCTCTCAAATCTGGAGATACCGGACAGACAATCAAGCCATTATCTGCCTCCTTGGAGCCCGCATCTCCGTTCACTACAAGAAGGCTCAAGGGGAACGGGTCTGTATACCCGGAAATCCCAGCCCTGAATGCCTCGAGGTCCGTCATGGAGTCGGGTCGAAGCTCGAGTGCCGGCTGCTCCTGCCGGAATGTTTCTCTCAACGGCGAGGTGGGCTCCCAGTCGTCGCCCTGGATTGTGACACCGACTCCCAAATCCAGCGCGGCTTCGAGGGTGATCAGCTTCGCGTGTAGCAGGACGAATCCCGAAGCGACCATGCCAAAGGGCGCTCTGGGGTCCGTGGGCACCACGCCGTAATCGGCAACGCGAATCGCCACATTGCCATAAACCGGGCCATCCCACACCTCTTTCTTGAGATTCACGCGCCCCTCGACGGCGGCCCAGCTCCAAGACGGGGCCCGGTAGGCGGCCGGCCGCGTGCAGTCCTGCCAGGACGCAGAGTGCCACATCAGCGCCGCGGCCCACGTCCTCTGTCTTCTGAGACCCTCGTCCCGGTCGTCTCCGCCGCCATCACCCCCTTCGCTGACGTCTATGTGCAGGCCTGCCATGTACTTCCAGCGCCTGCCGCGGTCCGCCGCGATCTTGACGAACGCCTCCGCGAGCGCCGCGACGGCGGGCAGCTTGTCGCTGGCGACGCCCAGCCCGCGCCGTGTGTACGAAGCCACCACCTTGCTCCAGCCCACCTCGATTGGCAGCTCGACCAGCTTGGCGGCGGGGTAGATAAGGGCGACGGGCGATTCGGCCCCGCCAAAGATACGCTCCCACAGCGTCCCAGACTCTTCCGAGTATCCGCTGCTGCAGCACCAGTACATCTGGTTGGCGGCGAAGATGAGGAGCCTACGCGAGAGAAACGCCTCCTGAAGCGTCCACGCCCGCGTCGTGATGGGTTCCGGGGGCGGCTCATTCCGATCGAACAGGTAGACGTGCCCGCCGCCGGCGTTCGCGTCGTCGAGGGACTTGAACCGCACACGGATGGGCCCCGTCAGGAATAGCCGCGACCCGTGGGGTCTGGCCTCTTCGAGGAAGCCCTGGTTGCAGTTCCAGGCGGACGCGGCGCTAAGGGTCGCGGCACTGGACCCGTAATAGGTCCCCATGCGCGAGATCTCGACCGTCTTGTCGTCATTGGAGTCCTGCCGGATGCAGAGCGCGTCAACCCAGAGGAACTGCCGCCCCATCTCGCGCACAAACCACGCTGCATCCCGCAGCGTGCGGGGGAGGTCCTCAGCGTTAACGCCCTGTGTCGTGAGAGAGGCATGCGTTTCCCTCTTGAGCTTGATGGGTTGATCGGCGCCCCAGCAGTACGAAAGCGCGATGTAGCCCTCCTGGGATATGGTGTCGATCATGTCTTGCGGCGCGCCGCCAGTCTCGACCAGCAGCAGGCGTATTTCTCGGCCAGAGCCCCCCTTGACCTGCAGCAGACGCGTGGGGATATCGGACGGAGCGAGTCGCTCGGTCGCGGCAAGGAGGGACTTTGCGTCTCCATAAAGGCTGCCGCCAACGCGGCAGCCCGCATGATATTTGATGCAACGCTCGAGACAGTTCCGGGCCGTTTGGACTGTTCTTTGAGAGCGTTTGTCCAGCTCGAATGGCCTGGCAATGATAAACCTGGCGGCGGGGTCCCCTTTGAAGAGTGTGAGCGGACTGCCTTATGCAGTACGCCAGCACAGTCCGAGGGTGGGTAAAACACTTACTCACCTTGTCGGGCAAACATTTCCATAGTGTGAGAGGCACTGCTGAACATCTCCTGGACCGATCCGTCCGCCATGACCAGACTAGTCCTCTGCCTGAGAGGTGGAGTGGGGCTCAAGTGATCGCCCGGGGACGGAACAGACCCCGAGGGGTGCGCAGTCGGCATGGTCGGCGAGCGTGGGCCCCCGGTCCCCGCAAAGAGCCCGAACCTGAGGACTTGGTTGGCCGCCTCCAGAGTTGCTGGGAGGTCGAGCGTATACGACGTCAGCGAGTCGACGAAGTAGCGGTATAGCGCACAGCCAGACAGGCAGGCGTCCACCGCCGTCGCCAGCGATGCTTCGAGCTCCAGGGTGTAGCCATCCCAGTTTCGCCTGCCTATCCTCTGCTGGGCTAAGGTCACATCCTGGCAGTGGGTGCAGCTATGGGGCTCGGCGATGCTGAAGGATCCGCCCATGGGCCAGAGCAGACGGTTCCCGGCCCATTTGGTGTGCTCCTTGGCCTCGATTCTTTGGGCGATGTAGGCCAGGCGGTCCTGGTGTGTGGGCGTCCCCGACTCCATTTTGGCGGTGGTTGAAGGACCGTGAAAACAAGCTGAGGGAGCTGCCCGCAGCACGAGCTTCCTTCCATCCCAAAGCTCATCCGTGCCCAACCCCACCCAGACGGCCCCACCACATCCGCGTTCAACACCAACATGGGCACCCCATAGGCACACACTGAAATCCCACTTCCCCCTCCCATACGCCGACTAGCACCACAAAATATCAAAGTGTGTGAATTTATTAACGGATAATTGAGCAAGGGATATTTGGTGACAGGAAGGAAACCTAACGGCTTCGCACAAGTTCAGAAAGGGATAACTCGCTTGCTTTCGCCTCCTCCTTCCACGGTACCCTTTATGTGCAGCCTTCCCCACCGGCCGGATCTGGACTACACGCTCCCAGGTTGTCAGTGTAGCCGCGGTCCCACGCAAACGAGCAGAGACCCAGGTACGAGCAGCGCTCGGGGACATCGAGCCTGGGGTAACCCTTCTGTCCCGTCGCCGGCGGCGGCGACACCTGAGCCCCGAACCTGAGGCAGGTGCAAGGGGCGGGCACGTAGCCGTACTGGCAGCTAAAGGTGCACAGCCCCTTGAAGTTCCCTTCGCCCGTGCCCTCAACGCACACCTCGCCGGGCTTTCCGCTCGCCACGGGAGGAGGCCTGCTGGAAGACGAAGTCAGGCTCGGCTGCGAGGTCGAGCTTGAACTTGGCTGCGCGCTCGAGGCTGTGCTTGTCTGAGAGGCCGAGCTCGTCGCGGTCGAACTTGTCGCGGTCGAACTTGTCGCGGTCTGTAGGGTCGGGCTTGTGGCCGGCTGCGTTGTGCTGGATTGCGAGTTTGCGCCCAGCTGCGAGGCCTCCTCCGCCGCCGCCTTGCTGCGCGCTGCCATGGTGCCGCCGACGCCGCCGCCGACAGCCGCGCCGATCACCAGCAGGACCGCGACCGCCACGATGATCCACATCAACTTCCTGTTCTTCTTCGTCGCCGCCGGCTTCTCGTCGGCCTCCTCTGGCGCCGGCTCGAGACCCGCAGGCCGGTACTCGGGGCCCGCCAGGTACTTGTCGGAACTGCAGTTAAGGACCGGGTTCGCCAGGTGCTTGTCCTCGAAGGCGCCGGGCCCGGCGAAGGTGGGGGACAAGTCGGACTTGTAGGTCTCGGGCGACGCGTCGTATGCGACCTGGGGCGCGGCGCTGTCGGGGCTGTTTGGCGCGACTTCGGGGTAGTTGGTGTACGGCGACGACGACACGACGATGGGCTGTGGTTGGCCTTGACGCTGCGGCGGCCCGCCCACCCATGGCCTTTGCGGTCCCTCCATTACGATGGGCGACGGCAGGGAGCACCCGAGTAAGCTACCAAACGTACCGAAGCGATAGCGCGAGCCGCTGAAATATAGTGTCGCTCAAAACCGATTGGCTTTATTCGATCGGTGGGGGAAAAAAAGGTGCGCGGGCAAGGCAAGATCTCGACGGACGCTAGAGGCGGCGCCCAGGCCTTGATCTAGTGGGCATTGGGATGAATTCCAAAGCATTGATAGCGACCCCCTGAGAGCTTCAGGGGTGTGTGGGGTCTATCTCTATGTCCAATTGCAAGTCCCCTCCTCGATGCTACCTTGGCAGGGGTGATGGCGAAAATAGCTCCTGGCGTCAAATCAAGGCCTTTGATTTGCCAGCGCGTGCGTTGGAGGCGCCCCCAGCGGAGTCTCTTAAGATTCTCCATCGACAGATGGGTGTTAGTAAGGCTCCCGGTTCGGCCCTCCATGCCTGAGGGCCCACACCCACTCGACTTGGGAACACTGCAACCTCCCCAGGCAGGCTCCAGGCCGTGCTCAGTTACCCCATGTCAGGACAGCAGCCCACGCCATGCCGAGGACAGAGACTCCAGCCTTCTCCGCACGACGCTGTGGATGCCTCCTCACGACAGTGGAGGATGATGGAAAGCCAAGCCCTCATAGGGTTCCTATTGTGGAATTGTCGTCATTCCCACAAGCAACATGTGGGCATGCAGATGCCAGGGTGAATGTAAAAAAATGACTATTTAGCAGCCAAATCCTTTTCTTTCTTTGCGCCAAAGATGGCTCCACCAGTGTCTTTCCTCAGGTCACTCCCCGGAACAGGATGCGCTTCCCCGCTTTGTCCATCGGCGTCCTGGCCACAGCCGTCGCCGCCGCCGCCGCTGAGGGCTTCGTCACCGTCGAGGGCGACATGTTCAAGCTGGACGGCAAGGACTTCTACTTCGCCGGCACCAACGCCTACTACTTCCCCTTCAACGGGGACCAGGCCGACGTCGAGAACGGCATGCTGGCCGCCAGGGGGACCGGCCTGCGCGTGTTCCGCACCTGGGGCTTCAACGACAAGAACCGCACCTACGACCCCAGAGGCATGCCACAGTACGGTGGCGAGGGCGCGGGCGCGACGCCGATGGTGTTCCAGTGGTGGGAGGAGGACGGCACGCCGACCATCGACGTGTCGCCCTTTGATAAGGTTGTCAACGCCGCCGTCAAGACCGACATGAAGCTGCTGGTGGCCCTGACCAACAACTGGGCCGACTACGGCGGCATGGACGTCTATACCGTCAACCTCGGGGGCCGCTACCACGACGATGTAGGTTGGCGCAAGCGCCCGGGTCCTGACCGTCCTGTTGATGCTCCACAGCTGACGTCTCGCAGTTCTACACCTCCCCGGTCATCCGCGAACACTTCAAGCGGTATATCAAGGTCTTCATCACACGGTACAAGGACAGCCCCGCCATCTTTGCCTGGGAGCTCGCCAACGAGCCCCGCTGTGGTGCCGACGCCACACGAAACCTGCCCCGTAGTCCCTCGGGCTGCACGCCCGAGGTGATGACCGAGTGGATCGACCACATGAGCGCCTACATTAAGACGCTGGACCCGAACCACCTCGTCACCTGGGGAGGCGAGGGGGGTTTCTTCCACAACTCGACCGACAACCGCTACGACGGCTCCACGGGCGGCGATTTCGACGCCGAAATCGCCCTTCCATCTGTGGATTTCGGCGTCTACCATTCCTACCCGGACTGGTGGGGCAAGTCCGTGGAATGGGTGGAAACCTGGATCCGAGACCACGCGGCCGCGGGGCGGGCTGCCCGGAAGCCGGTTGTGCACGAGGAGTACGGCTGGATGACGGACCAGGCGCGGAAAGAGATTCTCGGCCGCGAGTCCAACATCACCCGGCTCGAGGCGGTAGGTCGCTGGCAGGCTCTGCAGGTGGCGGAGAAGCAGTCAGACATGTATTGGCAATTTGGCTGGGAGGGGTACTCGTATGGGAGGAACCACGACGACGGCTTCACGATTTACCTGGAGGATAAGGAGGCCCAGGAACTGGTTTATGCCCATGCGGCGCGGATGGACAAGCTTAACGGTGGGAAGTGCAAAAAGAGCAGTGTTGGCGGCAAATCTAGGTGGGGAAAACATTGAACGGGTAGATCTATATAAGCACACAATAGACCCCATCTTGCACCGTTTGTCCGTCATATCATATCTATGCAGCGGCCCGCTTTCCTTTACCCCGCCTTCTCGTTCCTGCTGTCCCTTTTTCTCTGCCCACTGCTGCCATCGGTGCTCCAATCCTTGCCTCTTCTTGCGTTTCCATTATTTATTTTAGCATCGTCTCTTTTGTCCTTTCGCGCTTTAGTTCCCTTTTCTTCTCCCACACTCATTCATTCTCCGTCAAGCCACCTACCTCTTAACATGGCAGAGTCTCTTGCGACCCTTGGAGCGGCCACGGCTACCTTCTAATTCATCAAATTGTGCTACAACCTCGGTAAAAGCGTTTACCAAAGCGCTGATGGCCTCCCCACCCAGACTGCCACCATGGCGAGCGCAGTTGCTAGGTTGAGGACCCTAGCCTCAAAGGCAAAAAGGGACAATGTTTCATCAAGACGCTCGCATTTGGCTCTCAACAGTGTACTACAGCGAGTAACCGACGCCGCCCATGGTCTTGAATGGGAGGTCAACAACCTCAAACTCAACAAATGCCTATCCTGCATCTCAGTAACCTACAGCTCAGGACCACTCGCGACATTCATCATTGCCATGAGGGTCATTCGGAGACGGAGAAAAATCCAAGGTCTCAACGAGCGCATCTTGGAGATCAGGGAGCAGATTGTGCTGCACCTCAACTTCCTGATTCTACGATTTTACAAGATCTTGGGTGCAGGGTTGGATGCTTACTTAAAGGACTGCCTTAAAGCTAACTTAAATTAATTTGTAATCTCGTTAATAGATCACAAATCACCCGTGGTTTAGGCCATCTATGTTACGTTTCGGGGTGCGGGGTAGTAGAGTGCGTCCTCCGATCCCTCGGCTTCCTGCCACCCTGCCTCTTCCCCGGCTGTTGGCTGTAACGCAACTCTAATCACCAACGCCCGCACTTCGTCCTGTCAATCATGGCCTGCGGGCACGACACCTCATGAAACTCGACATTCGGGTTCTGCGCGTTACGGAACCAGTCGAAGCGGAAAAAGCAGCCGTCGCGGAACATGCCCGCCGGAAGGTTGTAGCAATCGTTGCGGCTGTTATAGCCGCCATACTGGTTACCCATCCAGGTCCCTGGGAATTGCGACGCGCAACCATCTTGGTACCAGCCAACACCGCTGCCGGGCATGGCGAGATCAAAATGGTTCTCCCCCAGGTCTCCACCCGTGTTGGTGACTTGGACGATCATCTTTTTGCCCGCGATCTCGGTGGAAGTGAAGGTGAGTCTGGGATGGCACGGTTTAGTCAAACACCAGGACCAGAAGGCCTTGCATAGAGCCATAGCATTGCACTTACTCGTAACAAGCACAGCACCAGTTGGTCTCGGACTTGCCCGCTAGCTTGGCAGCGGCGAACCCGTACGCCAGGTTGTCATTCACGGCCCAGGGACCATTGTTGCTGCAGGTGTACGCAGTCCCGCCGCCACAGGCAGACGACTCGTTCGGGTCGGGGTTGGCAGGCCACAGGTCGTTCTTGTTGCAGGTTGCTACGGGCGAAGAGACCCGAGCTTTGTCGGGCCAGGCACAGGATGGCTTGCAGCAGTCCCAGTACCTCGTGGTCATGCCGCTGTCTGCATGGACAGCCAGGATGAGGCAGAGGGCCACGGAAATGACGGAGACGAGAGAGACCATTCTGTCTTTGATATTTTCTTGTCTGGGTGAACGTTGGACTCTGTGCTGGTCAAACTTGCGCTCTGATGTTGCGTACCGTTATGGGCAGGTTAGCATTTTTATACCCTGGAGTCTGGCGATAGTTTACATATTCCCCGCAACCCCATCGGCTAAAGAAACAACGCATGCACCTGGTAAGCGGCAATCAGCATGAGGGCGGGTCGGCGCGAAGTAGGACATGCGGCCGAAACAAACCCGCTGACGGTCGTTGGTCCACACATAAGCGGTAACCCACGATTTGTGGAAAATGGCTCTGCAGTATGGTCACAGAATCCACTCAAAGGATTTGGATGGAACATCTCAAGCGTCGCCAGCATGCACAAGGTGACCAAGCCCAGCTGAACAAGACAAAAAGGGACGATTCAGCTAACAATGGCCAGAGTCTGACGTGATTGTGTTTAGGCAGCAGTGAATGGTCCCCATGTGACGAACCAATTGGGCCACCCCCGCTTAGTGGCTGGTAGCTACCAAGTGGGTCTATATCCGTTTGCGACAACCCCATCCAACCTTTTGTTCCTCCCCAGGTCCCCTTCACCATTGACTTGTAGTAGACCTAAGGGAGGAAATCCTTCTCTGTATGGTAGAAGGCCCGGGAGGGAACTGCCTGATCGGCGAGGGCGCCAAAGGTCTCCTTAGACTTTCTAGAGTACTTAAACTCGGCCAGTATCACTTTACCGTACCTGGTTACATGGTTAGGAGCGGACACGAAATGTATCCGTCGTGCCCAGCTAGTGGCTCCTTACCACCCATGGCCAGCAGCATATTCTTCAACGCGAGGCAAATGAAGGATGCCGATTTGAACGGCTGAGGCGAATGGAGGATTCCAAGTCCCAAGGGTTGAGCTGGAGAAAGCGGAGCCTTGATAGTGTTTTTTCCAGGACATAAGGATAGATGTGATATGGGGTTATCCTATCCAGTAATTTCATGGGATCCTAAGTGATAGATGAGCTCGGTTTGAGGGCTGGTAGAGATATATCATGGAAAAGCTGGTTGAGGAAGAAAACACTCAAGTTCCCAATGCCCGGGACTATGCGCATTAGATACAAAATAAGGAATGCGCACGACTTTGTTGGGAGCCGGCGCGAACAGTTTACGCCGATTGTGTTTAGTAGACGTAGGGCAGGATCTTCCACGGCACAGCCTTCTTGTACTTGACCCAGTCGTCGCCATACTTCTCGGCACAGGCGGCATCGTCACGGCCCTCACGGTGGATGAGCAGGACGGCAAAGTAGAGGACGTAAAAGTATGTGAACACCATGCCCCAGCCCCTAGCAGCGTCCTGCACAACCTCGCGGCCGTCGAGCATAGTGGCACCTGCGCCGGCAAAGGCGACGCCTCCGGGGAGGATGAGGTAGCCGGCGATGCCGGTAGGCAGGCTGAAGGGCGAGGCCTGGAGCCAGTCGCCAAAGTAGTTGATGTGGCGGGAGCGCCCCCACCAGCCGGCGGTGAGCAGACGGGTGCCGCGCTTGGTTTGGATGTAGGACATGCCCTTGACGCTGGGGTCGTCGGGCTTGGTGCGGAAGACGTTCTTCTGGGTGTTTGCGGCGCGGAAGATGTAAAGCCCCATAAGGAAAACGGCAGTGACGGAGGCGACGCCGGGGATGCCCAACTGGACCGGGTAGACGGACAGGTAGCGGCATTGAGTCGAATACAAAAAGGGCACCCAAACGATATCACCAAAGGTCAGCATGTAGCCGAGGCCATCGGTGGTGATGTCCATCATGGTCATAATGCCCTGCTCGAGGTACTGGCCGTCAAGGACGTAAAAGGATTGGACGATGGCTGTAAAGACGATGCTGTCGGACACGTAACCGTAGGAGCGGTACTGCTTGGCGATAAAGGCCAGGTCCATCAGGATCCAGCCTGTCAGGCCAGGGCGCATCTCGAGGAAGGTCTTGACATCAATCTCGCCGAAGATGGGAAGGGTGACACGAGGGTTCAGCTCGCGACCAATGTAGAAGTCGTAGATCAAGTTGCCAGTGTGGCCTCCGGCGGCAAGCTCGCGCAGCTCGGGGTTGCCCGGCTTGACGGAGAAGCTCTTGACATAGACCCAGATGGAGATGGCAAAGGCCAGGATGATGTTTCCGGTCAGCAGCTGCAGATAATTGTCCGAGATGAAGGTCCAGACGACAAAGTTGGCGCCCTGCAGGTACGTGCCAACGGCGCAGCCGATTAGCTGAACGATGGTGGCGGAGAAGGCTAAGCAGGCGTTAGTTGGCTTGTGCAGTCGCTCCAGCAGACACGTGAGCCTGGACGTCGAGAACGCGGGGCGACTCACCATTGAAGCGGTACTTGAGCGGGCGTCCAGACTCCTTGAGCTTGGTGCCGAGGACCTCCGGGGCAGGGAGCACGACGTGGAGGACCAGACTCAGGAAGTAGTAGGCCAGCAGCCAGCCGGTGGCCTCCCAGCTGACGAAGCCGCGAAGGCCGTCGGCGGGCCACGGGATCTCAGACTTGAGCTTGTCCCAGGTGAGAGTTCGGGGGCTCAGCAGCGACGGGACGGGACAGCCCGTGACGTCGTTGCAGGCGAAGAAGAAGACCCACAGCAGGACCGGCAGGCCGAAGACGATGGCCGTGGCGCCGGGGCTGTTGGTCCGCAGGTCTGTCAGCAGCTGAACGCGAAGGGCTGTGGCACCGAAAGGCCTCCACTGGAACGCGTCGCGGTCCATGGGAGATGTGAGATTGGGGTACTCACGGGCCTGCAAACTCGTATTTCACCTTGCCAGCCATGATGCGGTGAATGTATTGGGTTGGACGAGAAGTCGTGGCTTGCTCGTCCTCGTGGTTGTTATGCTTCAAGGGCGTTTGGAGGACAGACCGCCTTCAAAGCCGGCACCCCTTTAGCTTTTGTTCCACGTCGCCCGACGCAGAATTTGATGGGCTGGTCCGTGCAGAAGCTGTCCAATTTCTAAAAAGCTTCGATCCCCACAGTAAACAGCCCAACCGGGATCGTGGGATCCGGGCCTGCCAAGCCACAGGACCCACGATCTGCCAGCGCTGGATGGGTTGTGGAATGGTGGAAGGGGACATCAATTTCTTTGGGTTTTAGGGAACAATCGTTAAATTCTCAATTTGGTTTTGTATTGTGGAAAAGACAGTCATTCCAAAGGAATCAAGGCGCTTTTTTGCTGTGGCGTAATCCACCAGCCACACCCCACTTCCCGCGAAGAGCCCGATCCCCCCAGATCGGACACAGTGGGCTCTCTCACTCCCTCCTGCACGGCCCGTCGACGCGCAGGTGCCGGCCCCAGCCCTCAAACGGCGACGAGGCCGGGTCGCACTTCTCCCAGACGAGCGGCACCGTTGTGCGCAGCGCGGGCCCGTCGCCGGCGCGGCCAAAGTAGCCCTGCGCAGCCGCGGCCGTGGCGTTGTCGAAGTGGAAGAAGGTCTGCATCGACAGCTGCGTCTTGCGCCGCTCGTCTGGCCCCGCGAAGCACGGCGACCACAGCCGCTCCGTCTCGGCCCTCGGCACCGCCACGCTGAAGTCGGCGTCGACGTCGGCGTTGGCGGCCCAGTCGAGCTTTTTGTTGAACGTGCCCTGCGTTTTTTTTTTTTTTTTTGGGTTGGTTGCGGTCAGCAACGATGATTACACGCAGACGGCCGAGCGAGACTCACAAAATACCCCGAGTTGACGCTCCACTTGAACTCGGCCGCGCCGTCCTGCGCGTTGACAACGTGGCTGTTCGTGATGCCCAGGCCGAACTGCGTCGACGCGTCGGCCGCGCCCGCCGCGAGCCGCACGTGGCCGTCGTGCCGCACCTCATCGACGGCGAAGCGCCAGCCGTCGGGCACGGCGCCCAGGTCCAGCAGCGCCACGCACGCCGCCGACCGCGGCGGCGCCGTGCCCATGCCGTAATAATCGACCGTCACGGCCGCCGCCGTCAGGCCCAGCCGCAGCGTCTCGGCCCCCAGGCAGCCGGCGGCGAATGAAGCCGCGATGCTGGCGAGGTGGAACCCGTCGGCCGGCTGGGCCTGCGCCGCCGCGAGCCGCAACAGCGCCGAGGCGGTGGTGGCGGCGAGAGATGTGGGGGAGGCGCGCATGTTTGCTTTGCTGGGGATGGAGATGGGGCTGGCTGGTGGTCAAGGGGTTGGCGATGGCAGAGGTAGGGGGCTGGGCTGTTGCTTCTCCTTTTGCGTGACGGTCATTCGTGTTCGCTCTTGCTGCCTTTTATACCCGGAGTCTGGTAGATATTTGCCCGTCGACATGTTCTGAATCGTGGCTGGCGGCACCCCAGCGCGTCATTTCCCACCTCTGGTTATCGCAGCCGCGATCCATTCTCGGCAGTCTTCCGGTCTCCTCGGTGAGCGTTCGTCCGTTCCTGCAAAGCAATATCACTCCCATATGATCTGGCCAATCAACAATTCCCCTCGCAGCGGGGACTTCTGCTGCCGACGTCAGCCATCCCGGGGTGGCATCCGCCAAGACGGATCCGAGAATATACGGCCTGGCCAAGAGCCATGGGCATGACCCTAGCCCCGGTGAGGAGTTTGGGAGCCCGTTCCCTCGGACGGTCAGGCCCGGGCTACACCTTGAGGCGGCCAGCCACGACGAGGTTTGTCGAGGCAGTCGACACCTCCCTCGCTTGGGTCAAAAGACTCGGATCTGCACGCTATCTGCACGGGCGGTTCGCGGAACCACGATGGTTAATGTCAGGAGGGTGCCGAGACTTACCGGCGAGCTGCGGGGTTCGTGGAACACACCTTGATCCAGGGCGCGCAGCGACATGTGTAAGCCGCCCATCTTGGCCGCCCAAGCCCCAACGCGGGCGGCCGCTGTCTACCTTCGAATTTTGAGTCGGGATCCGGAAAGCGGAGGACGGCAGCCCGCTTGGCCTTTGGGGCCCATCACCACAGACACAAGTAGAGAGAAACGGGCACGCATGAGCCGGCGAGGGGTATTGGACTTTTGTGCCCAGGACAAGCTAGACGATTCCCGGTTGATAGCTGCACCGCCGCTGCACCGCCGCTGCACTTTTACCTAGCAGTTACGTACCAGGTACCTAGCCGTCAGCAGTCAGCTCGGGCCTAATGGCGTGGACCATGGACCATGGTAAAAAAACCGACAAACAATCATCCTTTCATCTCCGGATTTCCAGACGTAGACAACCCGGCCCTGCGTACTTAGGCCTCCGGTCCTTCCCAGCACCAAATGTCCACCCCGGCTACAGACCCGCAAGCCACTGCGCGACAAAACACCTTCTGGGCAGCGCAGGTGACCCTCAGTCTCCAGGTTCCGGTACCTCAAAATGGCACACAAGCAAGCACCTGCTAACGGCCGAGGAGCTGGTTTCCGGCCCCCAGGGCTCGAGCCTATGGTTCCCATCCAACTTCTGTATCAGAGGCTAAGAGGCTGGCCATAGTCAAGGCGAGGTCTTCTTCTCTCCCACTGTTTCTGTCTGTGCAAATCGTATTATCAGCTCCACTCGTCAACTTTCCCCTGCACCTTCACACACGTAACGGGGTGAAAATGTGCCGTAACCAAGCGATCTCAAATTTATGCGAAATGAAGCGCAAAGTTAACCCCGAGGCTTCAAAAGGGAGTTGTACGCCGAGCTGGAATCTTTCCTGGGTTGAAATGGGCTTTCCTTGACACTTTTTGCGAGAGGATGTCTAACCCAGCCCATTGACAAACCGAGACTACAAGGACACGCAGAACCCGCGTAGTCTCTTCTAGGGTCCGGGCAGCATGAGGGACCTCGCTCCAACCTAGCAGGCCACCAAATTTCAGATTCGCCCGACCGACGCGATCACAAGTCACAGTGTTTGCGGGACTTGCAGCATGAAAAGATTCATCAACTTTGGGGACTAGACCGTTTTTCCCATTCCGGTATGGAGCTTCTTTTCTTTCTTTTACCTATGTGATCAGTCATTCGGTCATCTGTTCGTCATGCCTCCGATGGAATACGGCATGGCGCGGGGTTACGGAATCTCTGCATCTGGGACGAAAATGGCGGATTGAGCATTTTGTTGGTCCATGGGCTCACGACAACGATATCAATAACCAGTATGTCTCGTGGAAAACCGGAATGTAGGCATGGGCTTGAAGAACCTGAAAGGTCGAGACTCACCAGATGCGCTTTTTGTTTATTTATTTCCTTGCGTTACCTTACTCCGTCTACCCACCCAATAGCCGCTTTCGCAAATCCAAGAGCGCCTCTGCTGCAGCCGGATGAGTCTGCGCCATTTCCGAGAGGTATTGCAGAACTCTTTCCTCGGCTACACCCTGGGCACTCTGTGCCATCGACGACCCCAGCTTCAACGTCCCCATCTGCCCCGACACCATGTCCGGCCCCTGCCGCACCAGCTGCGGCCTGTGTTGGTCCATCTCCTGTGTCTGTTGAAACTGCGGCTGGCCCTGTTGTTGTTGTTGTTGTTGTTGTTGTTGTTGTTGTTGTTGTTGTTGTTGTTGTTGTTGTTGTTGTTGTTGTTGTTGTTGTTGCTGATGCAAAGGGTGCAGCCGTAGCGCGTACTGCTGTTGGCCGTGCGGCGTTTGCTGATACTGGTGGTGTCCCTGCTGACTCTGACCTCTGTTGGGCATTGAAGAGCCGTTCGCAAGCTCCATCTGCAGCAGACCGGCGGCGTACACAAAGTACGGGACAAAGGTCGGCGGACGGCGGAGGGAGAATATTGCCGCGTACGACTGGGCCAGCCCGAGGACGGCCTGTGCGGACTCGGCGCAGATGACGCGGGGCGAGATCGTGCCGTTCCGGAACACTAGGGATGGCTGGTCGAGAAGTGGGCGGAAAAGGACGCCAAGGGAGAAGTGGTAGAACATGCTGTTTCGTTGTGTGTCATAAGGCCGTTAGTTAGCTCGAGCTCCCGACTGTGTAAGCGTCTGTGCAAACTTTGCGACTAATCAACAACCTCTTTGACTCTTCCCGGAGCTCCTGCACAAAACATCCGCACTTCCAAAGCCAGCGAGGATGGTAGGACCTGGAACTTACTGGAGAAACAGGTTGAACGTTGTCCACCCAGAACCAACATGCACCAAAGCCAAAGCCGAATTGTACCACTCGAGGCACTTCTCGTATATATCCAGCACGAAGCTTGAGTCGTTGCCGGGCCCCATCATATTCATTCGCGAGCACGCCAGCGTTGTGATCTGCACCACGGCGTCGGAGAAGGTCGCGACTCTCTTGCCACTCGCCACTCGGCCGGGCGCCACCGGTGTCTGATATCCGCCGGGGCTCGCTGCCCTGGCACCACCCCCACCGCTCGTAGACAGGCCCGGGTGCAGTGCCGCCATCGGCTGTTGATGGCCCAACTTTGTGTGTTGTTGGTCGGGCCCTCCCTGGGACGGGCCCATCGATGTGGAGAGGGAGTCTCCGCGCTCAAACTGGCTCGAGGTGTGCCAGGCCAGAGAGCGCGACGCCCCTGGCTGGGAGTAGGTGACGAGGTCCAGCATACTTGAAAATGCGGAAAGAAGAAGTTAGCTGTTTGAATAAAGAGAATAGTCCGTCCCACTTGTACCCAGGAACAAGTGCCGTAAACTCTGGGACTTGAGCCGAGCTACTGCAATTTCTTTCTTTCGTTCTTTTTTTTCTTTTGCGTTCTTTTGTTGCCGCTTCCCTTCTTTCTATGTCCTGGGCAGAATGTAAACTTACCTGGTGAGACAGATAGCCCCAGCATATGTCTCGGCGCTAGCAGCAAGAAAGGTCCCGTCCTCGACCTTTGTACGCTCGCGGAGAGAGCTGATATCTCTCAGGCAGCGCTGGGCAAGTACGCGGGCCGAGGCCTCATTCCCGTTGCACGCCTCGCGCAGGGAGAGCAAGCCCAGCGCCTGGACGTCGGCCAGGCTCTTGCACTGCCTCTGCTCGGCAAGCAGCTTGTATCCCTGCTCAAAGTATAGCTTGCCCGGTAGCTCGTAGCCGCCTGGGTAAGGGTCCGCGGCCGTTGCGCCCGGGCCGGGGCTCGCGGTAGTCGACGTGGCGGCACCGCTACCGCCCGCCGCGCTGTCTAGGATTGGCGTGCTCCTGGTCGAGGCACCAAAGTCGTTGGTCGGGGTCTTGAGGGCGTCCACGGCGGCGGGGTTCTCCTGCAGCCTGCTGGTGACGGCGACGATGGCGCAGATCAGCGGCCAGGAGCAGTACTTGCCCTGCCGTCCGATGACAAAGTCGGCCGTGAAGGCCTCCCTGGTGATCATGGTCAGGGGCGGGCACTCCCAGGCGAACAGGAGGTCGAGGAGCTGCTCCATCATGGCGAGCGAGAAGGTGGTCGGCTGCCTCTTGGACGCGTCGAAGCCGCCGCCGATGTGGGGGTGGTGCGGATGCGGGGGCTGCAGCTGGGGCGGCGAAGGCACCGAGGGCGAGGCGGACGCCAGCGGGGACGACGCCGCCGAGCCGTGCGACAGGTGTATTTCGCCCCAGTGCCTCGGGAAGAATTGGGCGCCGCCGGCGGGCGGGGCCGCGATGCTGCTGCTGCTGCTGCTGCGGTTGCTGGGGATCGAGGCCCTGGCCTGGGCGGCGGGGAAGGCGGCCGAGACGGAGCCAGCGCGCGAAAAGGGCGAGGGGCTCCTCATCTCGGAGTCGTCGCGGTCCCCGTCGCGGCCGTCCTCGTACTCGCCCTCAGCATCCAGGTCTCCAAACTCCGAGTAGGCCCACCTTGCGGCCGAGGTCGAGGACGAGGCCCGACCGCCCAGGAGCTTGTTCTCGATCTGCTCCAGCGACTCGCCGCGCTGCAGCTGTTCGAGGACGGGGGCGCCCCGGGTCGGCGAGCGCAGGGCGTCGATGACGGTCTCTGCTGTGGCCTCGCGCTTCTTGAACTCGAGGATCTCGGACCGCAGCCCGTCCTTGGACGTCCACCGCGTCGGGCTGTACGTGCACTGGTCCTGCCTGGCACGGCAGTTGGAGCAGGGGGTGAGACCATCGCACTGGCTCCAGGGTCAGCAAGGGTCGCTCTGTGCACTGGGGTAGATTTTTGAGGAGGAACAAAAAGAGGACGACTGTGGTTTGTGCTGGTGTTGAGGGAGATGCGGAGGGCGCTGCAGAGAATGTGGAAATTTTTCACTGCCGTCGTCTCGGGCGGTGCCTTCCGCCTCTGTGCCACCCATCCTCGATCGCCCAAACTGCAAGGGCATAATTAATGAAATTATGTCCACCCGCTGTACACTTCCACAGCAAAGAGAGCACAAGAGTTCGCGTGTTGCTGGCTTGGAAGATGCTGTCTGCTTACCTTGCGCTTCTTCTTGCGGCAGCTACTGCACGCCTTGCCGGTGAGTATGCCTCTCCTCATCGCCGCCGAGAGCAGACGAGATAGGGAAAGGCAAAAATGAAGACAAAAAAGTATTTGTAACCCTAGGCTAACCCTTTGCCGGTTCTTACTAGGCGGCCGGGTTTTGAACTAGCCCGCGTGGCTGCTTTTTGTGCTAGTTATGCCGTTCTGGCGTTCTCGGGCCGGTCACACCTCTGGCGCTGTGTATCCTGGGGGCCTGTCCCGGTTGGTGTTGCTGGCAGGTAGGGTGGCAAGGGACTGGAAGAAGGTTGCGAGCACGACAGCAATCGGCAGGGTTCCAGACCATGTATGTAGGTGGTGTGGCTGTCTACCTGGTAGCTACCCAGTCTGGCGGCGTGTGGTGCGGGCGTCTCCCAGGGATGGGTGTGAAGAAGGTCGGTCTGGTCCGTCCGTCTGCCTGTTGGGATGCGTGCTGTGGCCGCTGGCCTGCCTGCTTTTTTTTTTTTGGCTCCTTGGGTCTCGCTCGCGCGTGGGCACGCGCACCACAACCCCCAGACTCGACCAGCAGCCCTGACCACTATCCACCGCTTTGGTCCCCCTCCATATGCCGGGCCGCCCGTCCATCGGTAGAGCGGCTGTCAACCACACCCAGTACAGCCAGCTCTAGATAGCTACTCACTTACTCGAGGGCACGACCCCTTTCTCCTCGTTGTCTTTTTCCTCCCTTATTTTTCGTCCAATCTCTCTGCTCCTTTCCTTTGCTTTTTGGTCCAGGGCCAGCAAGGCAGCCCCACATGATGATCCTGCTTCCTTCGCTCAAGTGCTTGCCTCCCGTGAGAGACACAGAGAATATATACTCGAGCTGTTGGGGCAACGAGCTTGATACTGTCTAATGGCTGCCTAGGGCCACTATCATCCAAGACCAAAGCCAAGGGTGGCCTTTTGAGCGGCAGAAACGTATCGTGGGTATCGTGGAGGCCTTTGTCTACGCTCCCACCGACGGCCCATTCCATAAATTTCGGCCAAATTCGAGGCGGGCGACGACACAAAGTTTGTCGGCCAGGCAGCAGAAGAGGATACTACACAGTACCGTCACTGGGCGCCCTGCCCACACAGCCGCGGGGCCCGAAGAAGCAACTACCAGGGGGATACGAGGCTCATTGGTCCGAATCATGCGCTACTCACCCTTCCACCCTCCCCAGACCGGATGGACCCTGAAAATCCAGCCCAGAAACAGGGAGAGGGGTGGGGGTCCAACCCTCCCATCACGATCCCCTTCCCTGGCTTGCCACCCTGTCACCCAAACTTCCGTGCTCCTACCTATGCCGCCCGACCGCACATGGGCGCCCCCAGTACCGAACCCACATAACCCACAAAAGCCGCGCACAGGGAAACCGGGAGCCTGTCGTGCCCAGCTCCGTATTCTGGAGACGCTGGCAGCAGGACCCCGGCGTCGGCGTTTGCTCTCGGAGCCTTCCTCGGGGATTTGGCCCAACCGGCCCAAAGGGGAAACACGGTTGCTCGACGCATCACATTCCTCGCCCGCAGAGGGTACATCCGGACGGGTCAGCATGGGGACGCTGTCGTGCGGCTTGTGGGCCATCCGTCTCTTTTCCTCCGTGGCCGGTGGCGTGGGTGGCCGGCATCGCTTGCGGTCTGGGCCCTGGTCGCCGGGACATGGCTCCGTTGGATATAGTTGGTCGGCCTAGAATCGTGATTTTGCTGTGGTGTATGCAAGACAGCGGTACACTGGGCGGCGGCTATCACATTCCTGCTCATCTTTTCTCTTGGCATCACAACACAGCTTCTGCGGGCATATATTGGGCTGAAAGAGCCCGACAAAGCAGTCGGAAGCAACCTGAATGCGCCCAGGGCCCCTGGGCCGTCTTCTTTTTCACTCTTTTTCACTCTTTTCTCGTGGCCTTGTCGTCTCAAACAGCCGCGCCACCATCGACCAGTGCCACCGCCCAACGGCTGGATACAGCTGATGGCCATGTGGCTGCCCAGGGGCGCCGGATCCCTGGGCGCGACTAGCAGGCATGGGAGATAAAAGTCAGGCTAAAAATACCCACACAAAAATGACAAGGCGTGTTGGTACAGTAGAGAGCGGAGCTCGCGGAGGGAGTTGAATCCCTACCAGGATTGTGGGCCCTTTCCAAGAGAGCCAAATGAAGCCCTAGCGCTAGCGCTCTATCAAGCATCAGTCACGTCATAATGACAACGGGCGAGCCTTTGCCGTGACGACTGTGTCTTTGGGACGGGATGGAACCAGGCGTCCCAGTCGTTCCAGTGCTGCGTGGAGCCTCCCACCCCCCGGCTTTTGCCCGGGTTCCTCGAGTCGGCCGGGGTGGCCGAGAGACAAGCACTGACAAGTCACAAAAGGGTGCCACCAGCGTATCATTCTTGCGCTCGTCAATCTCCTCAATGACTAGGCTTGGGGTCGCGGCATTGAAGAATTTTCCGCCCGCTTCCCTTGTCGGTTGCCAGGCGCCGATACCGCCCCATCAACTCTCCCCATAGCATGGCGCGCCCTTGGAGTAGCAGGCCAATCTCGATCACTTTGCGCCAAGGTACATAGGTACCTCCTTGGGAGGGCGTGGCAGCAGGCAACTCGAACTCACCAACCAGATTATCGTCCACAAACATCTCTAGGGCGCCCAACGGAATTCCCCGCCAATCACCCAAACATAGAGACTGGACCAAGGTTTTTGACAATGGACTCGGGCATGCGGAAAGTAAACGGAGCAACGTGGTAACGTCCAATCGGTGCCCTGATCAGGAGATTCAAACCCCAATCCGACCGGGGCGGCCAAGACGCATGTGCTCGGGTGGAAGGAGACATGGGATGGGTGCACTGAACGACTAGGAATGTCCATGCTAAATAGACGATTAAAGTGCAAGCTAACCTCCTTGCAGAATCCATGTGGAAACTCACATGCAATCTTAATCAGACATTCTACTTACGGCTGGGGGTGATGGAGAAGTATTCCTAATAGACACGCTACTATCCCATCGGCAAGACTTGAGGCAAACGGGGCTGCCACACACACAGCTACCTGTCTGCCAGCAGCGGGCTCAGCCACCAGTATTCTGTCCCCAAGTGCTTCGCGAGTCCTTGTTACGACACGAACAGCTGCCACCCTCGGACTGAGGTAGCATCTGGCAGCTCAGGAACGGGTGTTTCCACCGAATACGGCAAAGCATGCGGTACTACCTATACGTCTGCCTCTTATTAGCGAGCGGTCGTTCCCGGGGAACGGTTCCGAGTTTGGATTGAACGCCGATCGTCTGGGAACGAAGGAGCGCAGCGGTACGGCGGCGACGGGGTGCCGTTTGGGGCCTTCATCAAGCAGAAAAGGAAATTCACCCCACGACAGCAGGACCGGCAAGTTGGAGAAGAACGCGTAGGGCGTACGAGGCACGTCTCGTAGGGCGGGTTAGAAGTGCCGCCGCGCGCCGAACGGAGATGGAGAGCTGGAGCCGAGGGAGCGTTGGGGTCTCGGGGAGATGTCCAAGCAGCGGCCAAAAAGGGAGTTTGAGGGAGCGGTCGACTTGAGGTCGATAGGGCAAGACATTGGCACTCGGGAGTCGAACAGCTGCCGGGAATCGAATCGAATCCCAGGATACCCCAAGGACGGAAATGCTGAGGAAACAAGGACGGTGCAGAAGGGAGGCGGCCACGCTGGCAGCACATAGCATTAAAATTATGGCCAGGCCACCACTACCACTCGTCGTGTGGTGGCGCGCCATGGTGTGACCACAGCTCTCGGCAAAATAATCTGGGCTCCACATGCCAGGGTGAAAATTTCGTGTCTAGAGTCGTGACGTCATAGGCCTAGGGTCCTACAAGCTCGGGCCGCTGGCGCCTGCACGGGCAGCTTGGACGATGCGACCCAAGCTCCCAGGAAGCTCCCAGGCTCCTTCCTCCCAGCAGACACGCACACACGGCAGCAGAAGGAGCTGACTCGGACACAGACACGGCCACACGGCTCAAACCCCCAGCAAACAGACCAGACCCTTTGCTGCTCGCGTACTCCCGCTGTCGACCTCCCTGAGCCCATGCTTGAGTCACATTGCCGATTCGACGCACGCTAGCTCAAACCATCCGAAACCTCCAGTTGTTGCTGCCCAACAAGCGGAGGCGGGCGTGAGCGCACGGGTGCATCATGATTCTGTGGCACACACGTCATGGTGGCGTCCTTGTGCGCCCGCCCCAATCTCGAGGTGGCTGCCGTGGCACGGCACCACAGGTGGCTTGCATGGAGCGCACCTGCCTGTGAAAAGCAGTCGCCCGGAGCAAACGCTCAGCTCAGCGGCTCGCCTGCCAAGCCAGGACGGCATCATCATGCCCTCGCCAGCATGACGCGCCTTTCCGCCTTTCCCACCCTTCCACTGCCTAGGTGCCCAGTGCCCGCCCAGGTTTGGCCGCCCAAAAGAAGTGTGGAAGCCGCTAGCTAGAAGTCGAGCATTGCGAGGAGGAGGCGCGAGAGAGTCCAGAGGCGGCCATCTTCTAGACCGCACAGCCGCTTGCAAAACGCACGCACGGCGCGGCGACCGCCTGCTATCACACGCGCAGTAGCGCCTACGCTGATTGGGCGGCGGCCGCCCTTGACATTCCGCAGATCCCGCCTGTCTATGACGCCCTCCAAGTGTCCTCATTCGCGGCCGCGTGCCTTAGTTGCAGATCTCGGCGCTGTGGGTGCCGACTGCTGCGAGCAGGGGTCCTTCCGGGCCATGCTGGAATCGGCGATGGTGACATCAACGACTTGTCCTGTCTGTGCCTTGTGCTTTGTTGTACCTACCTCTCCAGCTAGCTTGGCCGTAGGGCGAATGCGTATAATAGGAACACCAGTCGTCCGCTCTGCCGGGAGAGATCTGCTGCTTGTCCATCATCCAAACTACATCACAAACAAGATCCATCCACAGCTTCCATTATCTTTTTGAAGTCTTCCACCCCCTCCCTAGCAGTCTACCATCTAGACTCGCTCTCCACTAGTCAGCCGCTAGCTAGCAGACCCGCCCGGCTCTTCGTGCATCGTGCCGATCCGGAATCAGCCCCTGCCACTGACAGCTGGAGCCCGCACCACCCACCCAATCCTTCGCCAAGCACAACAACCACCACCACCCGGCACAATGGTCCACTCGCGCGGAGCCGGCATCCTCACGCCGCTGCTGCTCGTCAGCAACCTCATCATAATCGTCTCGTCGCTCATCGTGCTCGGCATCACGGCCTGGTTCATCGACCTGCTCAAGAGCAGCGGCGGCCGCCACCTGACGTACCTCATTGTCGTGGCGACACTGACGCTGCTCGTCTACCCGGTCGCCCTGCTGCTGTCGCGCTCCGACGCGCGCCGCGGATTCCTGCACCCGCTCAACCTCGTCTTCTCGTACCTGTGGCTCGCCGCCTTCGTCGTCGCCACGGACGGCTACGCCGACACCATGTGCCTGGGCGCCGTCTCGGGCCCCTTTGGCCGCTGCGCCTACAAGCACACCGTCATGGCCTTCAGCTTCCTCGCCTTCTTCTTCTCCGCCATCAACGTCCTGGCCGACGGCCACGCCACCACCCGCGCCGTCGGCGACCCCGTCGTCGGCTCCAAGCACCGCCACTCGGCCGACAACCGCGGCGCCGTAGTCTAAGCTGGCACGAGGCACAAGGCTCGCGAGCGGTCCGGGGTGGCTTGGCAGCCAAACATGTCTTGACAACTGAGCCGCGCCTGCTTGACACCAAGGCAAAATCTCCCTTCAGTTCCAAGTTTGTCCATCCGGCGCGTCTGTTTTTGATGGGTGGGGTCCTTGACTGATTGGGGAGGTTAATACTTCATTGGCTGGGAATGTGATTTTTTCTTTTGTGGTTGGCATCTTGGTCAAACCCCCCACCCCCACAAGTGATTCCCCTCGCGACTAATTATTCCCTGTATGGAAATTTGTCTATCAGGAGATTATACCACGATCATGAGTTACGATCCCTCGTTGCTAGTCATTATCTAATTTATCATTCGAAGTTTATCTCCTGTCCTCGTTCGTCCTGTCCGTTTGAGACCTGACGGGCACAATCATGGGCCCCGAACACCAGCTATCCTGTCAATTTGCGGCTCGATCGGGAGGGCCGTTGACCTTGTGGCTGCAAACCTTACTCCTTTTCACCATGACCTTGGCAGCCCACCAATGAGGTCGTTTATAGTTGCCCACCTGGGTAGTTGATATCAACGAAAGCTAGAGATATTTTCCCCATCCCAGCTGCGCCGCAAAGCCTTGCGTTTTACATTAGAAGCTGCAGCGCCTATAGACCATTTCCCCATTTATCGGACTCGAAACGCCACCCGTAGAAATGACACGCGCACGATGGTGAGCGGCCCGAACCGACCGCCCAGTTTGGTCTTCGTCGCAGACATCCCCAGGGAGCGTGCCAACAACGTCGGGCTTGCGATGGAACCCGAGATTTCCCAGCGTCGCGACACGTCGTACCTAGTATGGCCGGGTTCAGCCCGTGGCGATTCCTGGCCTGCTCCATGGGTATGTTTCTTCTCCGCGGACGGTGGGCAAGCTGCGTCCTGCTCTCCGTTAAAGGAAAGCATCGTCCTTTCTTTGCGGAGCGGCACATGGCTCGGGTCATCTTTTCTTTTTTTTCTCTCTCTTGAGTTCTCGGGCCGGCATACCCTGGCGCAGATACTTATTTTGACTACACGGGCGAGAAGAGTGAGGGGCGCCACCGCGCTTGTCCCCCTCGCTCGCCGGCAGGCCTAGAGCTGTGCCGTGCCAGGTATCCGGCCCCGCTGCTGCGACGCTGCATGTGCCTCCATCCGACCAGCCACGATGGTCTTGGCAACGGCGGGCTGGCCGTGTCTCAGGGTTGGCCGTTAGCTGCCTCCCCTGGCTGGATGCATGCACAGTCGCGTATTCGCCAGGGATCAGAACATGTGTTCCCCGAAAAGCTCGGCATGGTGAGCAACCCTCCTGACCGTTGCTCCATCATGCCCAGTGCCTAGGTGGCCTGCTGGGGCGAGGTATTGGGCTACTTACTGTCAGCCAGTCGGCTCCCGCCAGGCTCGGGCCAAGGGGAGCGCCCAGTCACGCTAGGTAGGTAATGAGCAGGTCGTGGAACAGTACAAGGTTTGGTGTTTTTGGTTCTTCAAATTGCCCGCCCCATCAAGCGTCCATTTCAAAAAATGGGAAGAAATGGGGAAAAATGCCTCAGCATATTCTGGACGGGAGAGAGACCACAACAGTCCAGACTCGCGCACGTACAGTATACCTGCTGAATTGGACCGGCTTGAGAGGGTAGAAGCGGGGAGGGGGCACCCCCGCTCTACGGTGTTGACACTTCCTGTGCCGGCCGGCTGACAATCGGTTAAGCGAGGGGCGTTTGAAGAAGAAAAAATAAGAACCCACGGCCAGCGGCGCAGCAACGACACGACGGGGCACCCGGGGCTGTGTACCCCCCGCGACCCCCGGAGGTAAAGGCCAACAGATCCTCGTGCCCCCTGTCTCCTTCATCCGTTCTGCCGTTCCTGCCTTTGGGTGTTTACCCTATCTTGCCGCGGGAAAAAAAAAACACCAAAAATGTGGCCCTGCAGACAAGCGTCAGGTTTTAGGCGCCACGACAGCATTCTAGCGCGCAGCCATATCGTCTCCCCCAAGTTCTCATTATTTGCTGCTTCCTCTGATTCTTTCACGAAGCAGTGTGCCCTTCCACACGAACGCGTCAGATCCGTACTTTCAAACATGGCAGTACTTTCTCGTGGGCTTGAACCTACTAGTTCTGTCCGGCAAGCAGCGACTCTGCCGGACACCCGCGATAGAAGCCCAAAGACTAGCTTGTTATCATCTAGTGCTCTTGGTGCCCCGAGAATACCCCTTACTTCCACCAGAGCAAAGAAAGGCTAACTACCAGATACTTCCTATTATCCCGTTCGCCTCGTAAGAAAACAAAAACAACATGCTCGATCGGATTCCCGCACAGTCGATCCAGTCGGGGGAAACGAGCGACCTCAACCAAACAAGCTTGAGTCACCGCGATCCGTGGCTTTGAAAAGAGAAGGGAGAACAGCAAAAACCGAGGGAACCATACCAACCTCCTATCGCAACTCCTTGGAGCCTATAAATCGCGAACTATCCTGAGAGACGAGGCCAGAGATGGGGAGTCTGGGCTCGCTCGAGGGAGGCCAGAGAGCATGGTTTCCGGATTTCGCGACTCATCGAAAACGGCCAACATTTTGGTCATCGTACGACCGGCCGGGCCTCGACCATTTTTCCTCTCGACCCTCCCACTCGCAGCCTCTGCGCCGTCTCCCGGCTCCTTCCCTTATCCTAGACGAGATCAGACGGCCCAGATCTACGTAGTGCGACGGCTGTTGCCGCACCCGCTCCTTGAAGTGAGGTCCCCGTCGATCTCGTAGTCAAAGCAAAGAAAGATACTCGGGGGATGGAAAAAGTCGGGGGTTCCCGCGTCCTCTGTTTGGTATCTTCTTCGAAGAGAAAGGGAGGGCAAAGAGGAGAGAGCTCGGTTCTCCCTCTCTGCCTCTTTGGCAAAACCCATGCTCGATGCTCTTTGAAAATGGCAATACCCTTTTGCTAGCCGCGCACATTGGCGCAGGTTGCCCCCGACTTGTGATTTTCCGCAAATACCATCTATGTTATGAAAGGCAGTTCTCTCAATGTGCCCTTGCGAGGCTTGGCCCCGAGGCTCCCCAGCCCCGTCTTCTCCCCCCTCCCGCTGACGCGGCCTTCATAGGTAGTCTCTAGATCTCGTCGCCGCGCCTTTGTGATCTATCACACGAAAGCAGTGGAGGCTACACCCACCCCCTTTTCAGTAGACAGGGCGCGACACTAGCTAGAAAAACCAGCATGCAGCACCCTCGGTGACGCCAAAATGTGACTGACCACCGACCGTGCGCGTGCAATCACTCCAGGCTCAGGGGTTTCGCACCCTTACGCCCCCCAAGCCTCACCGGTGTATGCTATGATCCTCAACAGTGCCTGTATTCCCTCAACTAAGGCACTTGCGCACTTGGGTCGGTGCCTACGTTGGAAGGTACCTATGCCTAGTAGGCACCTACTAGTACGGATGTGCGCAGGGGGCTCACGGCCTGGCCCGCTTGTGGGTACTGCAGCATAGGCCGTGCAGTCTCTGGCCGGTTCCACAAGCCAAGCCACCACCACAGAAACCTATTGAAGTTAATTGGCCTAGAACTTTGTGTTTCACCCAACGTCATGCCTGGTCGTGGGTTAATGACGTGTCCCTGCAACCCACGGCCGCCGTTTTCCCGTGTCGCTTTTAAGCTTTCTTTTCAGCAGCGCATGACGCGAGCGGTCCGATTTGGGACGGCGCAGCCTCCATGTCAACCCCCGGGAGGGATCCCAGGTTCGCGCTTGGTGATGACTACAGAGGTTGGTACGGGGCATGTCAATCGAATCCAACAGCGTAGCTAGGTAGGAGCTGATGATAAAAACTAGGTACCTACTACGGTATGTGTCGAGCTCCGAGGAATATTCTTGTATACAATGCCAAATTTAATGCCGTATATGTTCTATCCTTTGCAAACGCCAAACGACCACCGGGATTCAACATGCTTTGCACTATGCCTGCTGGCGTTCAAGCTCGTACCAAGGTGTCTACTACGGCCACCAGCAGCACCATCAACCACGACGCAGAGGAGGCCGGCCAGGCTGCTGGGTAAGTGCGTGACAACGTGAATGGGACTGCCAAGAGAAGCAGCGGGTAGGGAGAGGGCCCGCTGGGCGAGAAACTATGTCAGGACATCTCGAGATACTCGGACGGCACCTGCGGCCAAGCGTCGACACCGTCCTGGATTACCATGGCCATGCCACCTTCGAGATGGGCCTGGATGTGGCAGTGCATCAGCCACGGCCCCGGATCGGACGAGTGGTAGCGGACGGCGATCCAGGCGGGCTGGCCGACGGCAACCAGGCTCTGGAAGGTATCGCGCTTGGGCGGGTTCTGCAGGTTGAAGCTCTGGGGGCGGGCCGGGGCGGCCTTGGCGACCGAATTCCACGTAAAGTTGCCCTGACCCTGGCCGATCAGGTACATGTGCGTGCCGTGCTTGTGGACGGGGTGCGGCGGCATGGGGAAGATGGCCGACTCGAAGACGAGGTCGATCCACGTGTTGTTCTGCGTCGAGATGGTCACGTCGTTCTCGTCCTTGGTTTGCGGCGGCCCGAACAGGATGGGCGTCGGCGCTTCGTCGGCCGAGGCCGGGTAGATGGTGCCGTTGAGAGCCCATTTGTATGCTGCTCCGTCGTGCCGCATGCTGAGCTTGAACGTCTACGCCACGTTCTGGGAGATGGGCTCGGCTGGGTAGTCGCGTTGCGCCTGCTGGCTGAAGTAGTTGACGTTGCGCGAGGCTGCGGCGCCCGCGTCGTTGATGTACGGCGTAGAGGTGGGCGACACTGCCGGCTGCGTCGGAGCCGGAACTGGCGGCGCCTGTTGTATCCTGAGCTTTTGCTTGCCGCCTGTCTCGCCGCCATCTTCATCATCCCCATAGTCATCGCCCCGGGTAACCACGCGCGTCGGACTGCTGCTGTTGGCGGCTTGGACGCGCATGGTGGCCATGCCCGACATCAGCTGCGGCATGGCGGCAGACGCGACGCGGATTGCAAAGTCCCCAGCGCGGTCTGCCTTGATCAGAACCGAGTAGCGGTCGCCGTTGGCAACGCTGATGGCCTGGACGAGCTGCGGCTGAATGTATCCTCCGTCCACAGCGTACACGTACATGGGATGCTCGTCGATGGAGACAATGCCGGTAGGATCCTGAGTCACCTGGATGACTGCCAGCTCGCCATTTGTCGGCTTGCAATTGTCGAAAATGTCTGCTGGAATGGCGGACAGGTTGACCTGCAGACCGGGAGAGAGACCTGCCGCCACCGACCGGGCGGGGAGGCATCCCTTGTCCGTCAACTGGTTATCTCCGTCACGCTGCAAAAAGACGCGCTGGATTCCTGTTGTAAGCTGGTTGATCTTGGTGCACGACCAGCAGTTCTCTTGGCCCTTGCCGTTGATCAGGATGGGGCCGTAAAGGCCGTCGTCGATCTGGCCGCGGGAGTGGGCGTGATACCAGTAGCTCCCATACTGATCCGCCTTCCACTTGTGGGTAAAACTCTTTCCCGGCTGGATGTAACGCTGCGTCAAGCCGGGGACGCCATCCGACCATGGTGTTCCGATTTGCGTGATGCCTAAGAGAGCGTTCATTGTCAGTTCGCTCTTGAATCCATGTTCTGCTACGAGATAACACGGAAAGACGGGATCGCCTACCATGGAAATGTATTGTGGTGTTCATGGGCATGCCGTTCGTCACCACGACCTCGACATTGTCGCCCTGGTTGGCTTCAATTAGGGGACCCGGGAACTGCCCGTCGACGAAAGCCATCTCTCGCTTGAAACCATCAGGAGACCCCTTGTCCCAGGTGATGGTGTACTTGTATCGTCTTGGCGCATCTCCGACATCATCGAGCCCTGCGACGAGGAGTGGGAGGGCAAGCGGCAAAGCCTAGCGAAGGGCCGCAAAGCCCGGGGAGAGGTGCATGACGAATACTCTCTTGCTTGGGTCTCCTGCGCTTCTTGTTGGCTGAAGAACGGCTTAGCTCTGGGCAAAAGCCGTGTCGGTCGATCAGCCGGGAGACGAGCAGCAAGTAGCGACAGGGCGGAGACTGGCGTCAAAATGTCAAGACCTCAGTCCCGACTGGGAAAGGGCGTAATAAATATGACGGCTATCATCTCGACTTGCCCTCCAAGTCGGCGAATGGCCCCAAAGCTGCAGCAGTGACACGACGCAGACCAAGAGCATGCTTCTGCGGCCAGCACTTGACAAGATAGGAACGTCACTAATGTGAAATCTTTGGTCGCCTCCATGGCGCGTTCCTCGACCGACAACTGCCCGAAGCCTGCGGATTTCAGGTGGCGCCTCGGTCGACCATCCTTCGTGATAGATGACTTGCATTCAAGGTGGACAGGGAGGCCCGGTCGGGAGTTGACGCGGCTCTCAGCCGAGGAAAAGAAGGCAGGAGCAGCGACAGACCTCGCAGTGGCTTGGAAGTGCCAAGCGGCCGAGTTAGCCGGAACGGCAACTGACAGGGGACACGCAGGGCTCGAAGCTTCGAGCGTTGCCACCTTGGAACGCTCGCCAGGCGAACTAGCAAATGGGCACAAGGGATCGAGTCCCGAGGATGCACTCGGGGATGCACAGTTAGGACGACGTCGTGTCCTCTGATGATTTTGAAGCAACATCGAGCCAGGGCAACGGCAGGTCGGGCACATGGCTGGCTGGGCGCGTCCTTTGGGCAAGGCGCCGAATGCTAGGGTCATGAAACGGGACGAAAAAGGACGAAAATAACGCGCGTGATGGGTGTTTGGATGGAGGATGCCACAGCCTCCCAACCCGAAGCACATGGGGTCAGTAATGGGTTGGAAAAGGGTTGGCAAGCCAGCCCTAGCGACAAATGTGCCAAAGGAAATATCAGGGGACTCCACCACGGAGGGCTAGAGTGAAGGGGGCCGGGGAAACATGGTAGTTTGGCCCATCCATCAACTCGCGGCGGGGCGTGTCAGTCGTATGCTCAACACGGGACTGTCCATGACGCCTGACAGCGCTTCGCGACGCAAAAGGCATGATGTAGGATGCATTACGTTTGATAGCGGGACGTGGGGGGCATTCGCGAGGGTCAAAGGGCCGGCCCAGATGATCCGAAGAGGTCTCAGTGAGCGGTCCCGGATCAAATGCTCCTTGAGCAGGTCGTAGAGGCGGACGGAGGCGACAATCCACGCAAGTCGACGAGCAATGAAATGGCATTTTGCGCAAGCGGGGGCGAGAGCAATGGATCAGAAGCAAGGGAAAAAGAACGGAAGCCAGAGCCGTCGGTGGCAGCGCCGACGAGCCTGCGCTGCCGAGGCCGAGCGTGCACCGCGCACGGCGAAAGAGCGCATCTTAGCCGCGTCCTGCTGCTGACGACACCAGATACCCGTTGGCCATTGCGATCGAGTTTCAAGTGAGTGGCGGGTGGCGCATCTGTAGAGGCCTTGAGAGAAACAACGAGGACCTTCGACGGGGCCTGCATGTGAAGGCAGAGGAGGGAGCATCAAGACGCTGGTGATGGAGGCTCAAGTCGTGACCCCCACCAGTCACCAGCCACAGTGGAGTCGGGTCCACTTCAGGTCCCACCTGTACTCGGAAGCTGGCTGAAAGCCCAGAGAACTGACCAATTGCCGGCCGCTTGCGGGTCCCTCCTCCCAGGCCCACTTGAATCCCGGTGACATCTTGACCATGAATCGTCTTCGACGTCATCCCTTCAACCCCGGCTGCCGTTACAGACAAGTCGACAACAAGGATGCCATAATCCAAGGATGGAAAGGCCAAACATGACGAGGCTGTGGGATATTGGGCGCCGCCCAGTGGCTGGGGGGCCTCCATCGCAGTGGATGCTGGATGCCCATGTCCTGCGAAAACACCAGCTGCCACAGACGTTGGACTCTCCAAGCGGAAATCCTTGGCCCTCTCCGTCGCACCAGTGCGGAATGACCGTTTGCCTCGGGGAATCGTGTGCCGTTCTCGCTCGCCGGAGCCGCATGTGGCACCCTCTGCCGCGCTCCCCATAGTATGGGCACGCGGTCGTAGTGCTCGTAGTTCCGATAGTGTCTGTCAGATCTGGATGCCATTACCGACATAACCACAAGGTGCGAGCTAGACATATTCTAGAGATAATGCCGGACACGAATCGCGCGATATGCCCTCGTCCATGCCCCTAGCTCACATGCAAGGGACTCTTCGCTGCCCGGTGATCTCTGCCCCTACCAGCATCGCGCCATCGCAGCCAGGAGCCATCGGCAAAGATTATTACTGTTTACATCACTGCCATCACCGCCACGACACTTGCTATGGGGGCCGTGTGCTTGAGGGCCCGTGATCCGCTCTTACGGTAGACTGACTAATCTGATGGCTGGCCGGTTTTGAGAAGTCGTGGCCAAGGTTGACGGGCGATGCAAACATGGACACAAGGTTTGGCGAGAAATGGGAAAGGCTTTCCCGATTTTCTTTGTAAGCACCTTCGCTCCGGTGGGATGAAAGATAGAATGGGTGTTTTGCTGGGTCACGCCCTGGAACGCCGCGGCAGCCGGGCTCTTTGAGCCGCGGGGTTCTGGCTGTCCTTATCTAATAGTTCTTGGTCGCTTCTTTTTTGGGTTTGGGTTTGTATATAGACGATAGCCGCGGTCTTTCAAATCCCCCCACCCAACGCCAGGTCGGTGCTCAGCACCACTACAAGCACTTCCATTCTTTTCTTGGCCGCCCCTGTTCAACTGTGCCGTTCTGGATATTGGGCGATTTGCAGGCTAATATTAAATCATTTTTGCCAACATCCTCATCGTCGTCATCGGGTCGGCTTTCGTGACGCGCCCCTGCTGTACAGGACCCGCACCGTTGAGCAAGATGGCCCTATCGAGGCATGGCCCCAACTTCGACACCACACTTTTTATGCGTGCCAATTACAAGACGCCAAAACCGGTAGGGCTGCCTTGCAGCAGCATGATCCCTGACGAGGCCCGGAAACCCATCCCGTTTGGGATCTTGCGCGATGCTGTCCGGAAACAGGAGAGCTAGATACGCCATCTGTTTTTTCTTCCTTTGGTAACTCCCGATCCCAGCCAGAGATTGCCGAGTTCCGCCCAGGCCCCAGCCAATCATCGACTTCCCTCCCCGCGCCAGAAGCCCCCACGCAAGGAGGATCCCGGCGTTTTCCTTGGCGGCCATCCAGGGCACAGTCGCGATGGTGATTGTTAACGAAAGCTTCATTGGGAATACTACCAGCCAGGGCTAGACATCGAGTTGACCAAAGAATCGTGGAAAGAATAAAGCAAGATGCGGCGGGCGATTGAGGCGAAAACATGGTCGTCGCATCTCGGCCTCATGTCCAACGGTTTGGTTTTTTGGCCTTATTTACGGGCGAAAGCGAAACAAAACACAAACATATTACCTGGCCTCCCAGATCGGAATCACCAGGCCAAGAACCCACCGCCTTTTCTTCCTTCTCCCCAAATTGCTCGTCCTGATTTCCACCTGGCTCAGTTGGTACATATCAGGCGGCCACACGGTGACGCGAGAAGCGAGGCTTTTTTTTTTTCAATTCTGCCACCATGATCCCCTGACTGGTACCTAACAATCGTTACGCTTGTGTCAAAACCGGGGAACGAGTCACGGCAACGACAGCGGGCGGGATCTACCCGCATCGCATCACACCCTCGGCGAGGGAATTCACCCTCCTCCCCCCGCACCATCTTCAGCGTGGCCCTTTGGCTTTGGGCTGATCTCGCGTCGCCTGGCCCTCTCGCCAGGCCAATGGGGACGGGGACAAGAAGGGACAGAAAAGCAAAGGGCACATTTTCCGGCCCATGTGTCATGTCCCTTTTGTCTTTTCTCTGATGTGCCGTCACTCGCCCGCCCCCGCCGCCACTCGTGTCAAGGAGCAAGTGGTTCATCTTGGCGGACAAGGGTGGACGAGGAAGGTGGCCGGGAGAGATGGACTCGCCCCACGCGCCCGGTAGGGCTGCCCGGGCCGTGATAGGTTTTCTTTTTCTTTTTCCTTTCCGAGGCAATCTCCCGATCAGGACTGAAGTTGGTCAAGACTCTAGAGCACGTTGCAGGCCTTCCCAGCCGTTCCCCGCCGCCCCCCGTGGGTACAGTCCAAAGCCAAGGATAGGAACGAACCCATCTCGATCGCTGACGCCCCTGACATGACACAGTGACGGGAGGACCTGGCGGGCCTCCTTTAGATAGTAACCACATCCCGTCCATCCTTCCTGCTTGGTTCTCTCGTCGGACTGGCACCTAAACAACCGCCCGGTTTGGTTTGGCTACTGAGACAATAAAAGCTTTTGGACCAGGAGGACCACCGCACCATAGACACGAGACACGATTGGAAAGTTGTCGAATATTGTCGAGGAATGGCGGTCCTGCCGTTCTCGCCGCCGCCGCCACCGCCGCTGCCACACACTGCGCCGCCGCCGCCGAGGACACCGGTCCCGTTGGCCCCGCTGGCCCCGCTCGTGCCCGTGCAGTATGCCCAGCCCATGCAGCCAATGCAGCCCGTGCAGTCATTCCAGCCCATGGCCGCGGCCCCGTCCTCATCCCTCCTATATCCGGAGGGGGACGTGTTCGACTCGCTGGACCTGAACGAGGGCGGGGGCGGGCCGTCGGTCGAGAAGGCGCTGTGGCTGCTCGTAGGGCTGTCCGCCATATTCTTGGCGCTGCGGCTCTACTGCAAGCAAAGGTATCCCAACTCGAGGCTGAGGTGGGAGGACGCCGTGCTGGTCACGTCTTGGGTACGGATGACAGCCCCACTCCCCTCAAGACCGATGGCATGATGATTGGTCATTGCCTGTTCAACCCCTCCCTTGTCTGCACGTTCCTACCCCAAGGAGAGACTAACACGTCACAACAGGTGATGCTGGTCGCCGACGCCTCCATAGTGACGTTCCTCATCGTCAGCGGCTTCAGCAGCCCCGGCTTCGCCGTGACGCGGGCAAACATCACCACCATTAGCGTGGCCGGGCTGGCGTCTGTCACGGCCGGCATCGTCGGGCAGGCGTGGAGCAAGACGTCCTTCGCCATGACGCTGCTGCGCATGTCGCAGGGCTGGATGGCCGCCTTCATCTGGTTCGCCATCGTGTCCATGAACGTCCTGTTCGGCGTCTCGGCCACACTCTTCTGGGTCGGCTGCAGCCCCGCCGAGAAGCGCTGGAGCCCGTTCGTGCCGGGCGACTGCGATCCCGACACGTCGGTCCGCGCTGCCGTCTTTGGCTTCTACGTGAGCGGTACGGCGTCTTTTCATTATAGTCACAGCTGGCAGAGGCGCAGAACTGACGGATATAAAATAGTCTACTCTGGCTTGGTTGATATCATACTGGCTCTCCTCCCGTGGCCGATCCTGCTCAAATTGAGGGCGAGCGCGAACGGCCTTGAGCTGAGCATCAAGGAAAAGATCGGGGTGGCGCTGGCAATGAGTATGGGAATTGTGTAAGTCTGTCTCCTATTTCTTCCGCCCATGTGGCATGACCTAACAAAAACGATGAAAAAGAGCTGGCGCAATGGCGTTCGTCAAGGCATCGTACTTCCGAGTGCTGGAACATCCAAGCATCGACCTCACAGGTGAGCCAGCCCCGATAGTGCGGCAGTCGCTTCGCTGATCTGCTGCCGATTGAGGTGCTTTCCAGGATCTCTAACCGTGACCGACATAATACAACAGATGGCAGCGGGGACCTGGCGTCGTGGGCTGCGGCAGAGACGGCCGTGACCATCATGGCGTCCTCGATTCCCGTCCTGCGAGTGCTGATCCGAGATCTGGCCGCTAGGGAGGCAGCCCGTCTGCAAGCGCGCCTCGCACGGCGAAAAGCAGCGATAGCGAAGCCGATTCCCATCGTGAACCGCCGTTTGTGGAAGGACCAGGTGTCTTTGTCCTCGCGGCCGGCCGACTTGGAGCCGATATTGCTGCGGAAGCCAGGGTCAAAGGGCGACGAGGACGAGGACGAGTCCGGCGACGAAGGGAGAAGGCGGCAGACCAAGGGCGGCACCCAAGAGCGACGAGTCGGGTGGGCGGACAGCCTGGCAGTGGACATTCCGAGGAGCCCTGACGGCTCGTACGGCCCCTGGAGCCCAGGGAGTCCGAGGAGTCCGAGGGGTCTGCATAGCCCGCGGAGAATAGGCGAGGTGTGGCGGCAGTAGTGAAAGGAGATTCTTGACTAGATCCGTTCTTTTAATCTGTCCCTTTCCTAATCATTGATGGTGTATCGACAGACGAGGTCTCAGGGGCCCCTGGAGACGTTGACGAGCCACGAGTCCCGGAGTCTTCGCGACTCGCGCTTGGCATATAGCAAGCCGCAAACATTGCACAGCGTCTTGGGCCCCGAAGGGCCTCTTCGCCACCTGGGAGTCTTGGATCTGTGGCACTTATGGCAAACGCGACCGCCGTGATAGGCTTTGAGTTTCCGCTTCTGTGATGGAGACGGTGGTTTCGCGGTCAGCCAGGCTGAGAGTCTATGGAGCGCAGGGACGACAGAACAAGGATGCCCTACCATGATCTCGGCGAAGACGCGCCGTCTACCCGGGCTTCCGTTCAGACGGCTGTCTTCGTCGTCTGCGAACCTGTCGTTTAGTTCGTCGACATGGACCACATCCCGAGCAGCGGACCTGCCTGGCGGGCTGATGCCCGTGTGGCGACGGGCGATAGCGTCGATGCCGAGCAGGGCGATGTCTTGGAGGGATGCCGCCGCGGGTGGCCCGTCGATAAGCATAGGACGTTTGTTAGTGCCTCTCCGCGGTGACCGCCTCTGAGCAGCAGAGGTAGCACCGCGACTTGGCCCGGTGCTGGATCGGCCGCCGGCGGATCGAGAATGCATCGAGGCGACGAGGACGGACGAGGTATGCAAGCCGTGGGCTGAGAAGCGGGTGGGGGACTTGAGAGATATCGAGGCCGAAAATGCGCTTGGTCGAGAAGCTGGGGAAGCGCACGGGTGGCGGTGCATAGTCGAGGGGCTGCCGAGAGCGTCTCGGACGTTTTGCTGGTTGGGCAGTTGTTGCGGGTTTGTCGGTTTAGACCGCAGCTTGGAGACGCGTCGCATTTCCATTCTTTATTAGAACAGCTAGCCAGTTCCAAATTGACCCAAGTCGGCTCAAGCTACCATTTTCAACGTCATTATTGTTGATATCAGTGGCGAAACCTGGAAGATGTGTCAGGGTGGAGCGTTTGCTCCTGCGCAAGACAAGGAACAACCTGGAATCCAGGGCACCGCGGGCAAAACTGGAGCTGGACCCTTGGTTTTGCTGCAGACCCTTGATTTGAGCACCCTTCCCCTTCCTCGCCTTGGCGGGAACGTGTTGGCTGCGGGAGGATGAGGACCTGGTGGGTGGGGCCAGAAGTGAGCAGGGCCGACAAGAGCCAGCGCCTGCCACGACCGCCCAACTGGAGGCGCACCAAAGCGGAAGGTGGAACCTCGCAGGGCAGCCAGACAGGCAACCAGGGTCGTGTCTCATCCGCCCAGTCACGAGTGCCGCGATCCCCGCGACCGTTGGGTCTCCTCGACGATCGGCATCGCTACCGTGCAGTACAGCACTGGAATCCCCTTGCGGCTGGGGCTTGAAATTTCCCCAAGTCGTCTGCCTTCAGCTCCTGCGCATCAATTGGGTCTGCCATCAACCCTCTTCTCTCCGCTCATCCCCTGCCCAGCGATGCTGACAGCGGGGGCAGCCAATTTCGTGTTTTTTTTTGCTTTTTGCTTTTTAGCTTCGCCGCTGTTTCGCACCGTCGGGCTTCTTTCCGCGCACCACAGCCCCAGCGCCGTGCCAACCTCGTCCTGGACTCACTTTTGGATGCGGGGTCACAACCCCCGCTCTCGGGCCCCTCGGACTGCGGTAGTCCAAGGCCAGCCGCCCAGCCAGCCCAACCGTCCTGAGCCAAGCGGCCAGCGGACTGCACGAGTCTCCATCTGCCCCGAGGATGCCCTTGGACGGCAGACAGCGTCGTTCCCCATCCCAGCTCCCCAACAGACCCCGCTCCCCAACAGACCCCGCTCCTCCGGGAACGAATGCCAGTAGCCAAGCCCAGACAAGCACGGCCCGGCGACGGCCCCAAACCGGACGACATGCATCACAAACATAGCCTTTGAGGGGGTGGCGCTTTGCTCGCGCTTAGCCTCGGCCTGCCACCGGCATCCGAGTACGTGTGGGCGCGCAATGCCCGCAGGTGCATGCTGTACTGTACTGTACTGTGTGACTGTGTACAGTAGAGACACAGCCGCAGTTCGTCTAGATCATGGCCGGCCAAAGCACACCCGGTTCCCCGTCCAATCATGCTGCCCGCCCGAACGCGACACCATGTTCGCCAGCAACAGCCAGCGTAGCAACGCCAGGCCTGGCGAGGCCTGCTGTACGCATCATACCCATCGAACCTTGTTGCAGAGCTAGCTTGAGAACCCAATCCCCAAGTAGTGGTGCTTCCTGCTCGCGGGCGCCAAGGCACATCGACTGTGATGCTTGTTAGGTAATACATGAGCTGGCCTCAGACTGCATACCGCATACACCTTGCCTGCGCAGCTCGATCTCGAATGGCACGCTGCATGGGCATTGTTGGTGTTTCGACATAAGAGGGGAAATTTATTTTCTCGGCGTCGTATCCCATCTCCCTGCATGCAGCAGCTAGCTTTGCCCCTTCATTCCCTAAAGTCGCACAGCGTCCAGTCGACGAGCCGACTCTTCCTGTGTTTGCAGCGTAAGCCTAGAACGCCTTCTTCCGTCTAGATGCCTACCCTAGGTGTAGTTGCCGAGATAGTTTTATGTTGCATAGGTCACTGCGAGCGAACCCTGAGTTCATGTGTAGGGCTTTGATGTCTGTGGGTCTGGCGTCTCCCCACGCCTCGGAAATCTCGCAGACACTAGGTAACCGAGCGGACAAGCGGCCTCCCAGACGTGTTCGCTGTCCGACAAGAGGGAGAGGCGCACCAGAAACGTTCGAGATGCGCAGGCCCCGACCTCCAAAACGGGCAAACAGCAAACTTCCCCCCGACAAACCTAATCGAACAAACGAAGCGCTACTTTAGTAGGGCTGAGAATCGCGATTGTTTTGGGCATAATGCCTGACATCTGACCTCCCATAGTCAGCAATCTAGACGCCGGCTACTGCAGCTGCGTGAGGGGCCTCGCATCCTCTAGTTGCAGCGAGAAACCTAACGCATGGATGACACGGCTAGCTCCTCCGCTCCCTTGCCCCCAATGCCCCGAGAGACGGCTGTCTGATGCCGGCACTGCAGAGAGGGGCCGTGTTTGAGTTGGAGCCGGCATGAGAGCATGGCGGACCAGGAGTTTCGGGACCTCGATCGGCTGGTCGTCCACGCCATGGCATCCAATGGAGCCTGAGGGGTTTGCCCTCGAAGCGAGGTAGGTGCGTCAAGGCCTTGGGCTGGTGCCGGGGGATAAGCGTAGTGGGAGAAGTAGGAAGGAGGCGAAGGGGGCGAGACACGCTCGCCAGCCGGGTATATAAGTCTCGAGGACATCGCCCTCTTGGCCCTCTCGATTTGTCCTCCGGATCAGCCTCCACAGCAAGCACTGTTCGGCCATCTCCCAGCTCACTAACAGCAACCAAAAGTTCTTCTCTCTTCTCTTCTTGACTTCTTAGCATCCTTCGGGAAAGGATATAGCACCCTGTTCTTTAATAACCTTACCCTCTCTTCTACTCACTCCCTTCACATCGACATCATGGGTGACATGCGCAGCTTCACCTCCGAGGGCTCCCGCGTCGTCTCCATCGACCCCTACGCGCTGGTCTCCGCCATCATGGGCAGCCAGATCGAGCGCCGCGGCGGGGCCTCGTCCTCGAGCTCGACTGTCGACGGCCTGCAGGCGGACTACGACGAGCTCGTCGACGTCAACTCGGGCGACAACGACAACGACCGCAACCGCGACCGCCAGGGCCCCAAGCCCGACCAGGCCCCCAAGAAGGTCTGCGTTGGTGCTGCCAACCCGTACGCCATGGTCGAGGCCATCCTGGGCCGCAAGGTCGACAAGACCAGCATCGAGGTGGCCCGCATCATGTCGGACGTGCTCCAGACCGACTACGACGAGCTCTTCGACATGAAGCACCGCTCCGTCCTGTACGCCGGCCTCCAGCTCAACGGCGACAAGAAGATGGCCGAGCAGGTCTCGCAGAAGGACATGAAGATCCTCAACGAGAACGACCTCATCACCCCGGACCTGTCCCGGGTCGAGAAGCTCAAGGACCTCGAGAAGATCGGGCTCAAGGACCTCGACAACGCCAAGGTCAAGATGTGCCGCCTGCACAACGGCAAGCTCCGCCTGATCCTGCACGCCGACCGCATCGGCCGCACCGTCAGCAACAAGGAGGTGACGCGCTCCATCAACGACCTGATCACGCCCTTCCGCCACAACAGCGACAACAAGAACAAGTGGACCCCGCCCAACTCGTCGTGGCGCGACGGCTACGACTACTTCTTCCAGATGTTCAACAGCCGCCTCATCAACGACATCAACCAGTTCTACATCGGCGGCCGCCCCGACCAGATGCTCGCCGGCGCCGGCGGCTTCCTCGGCAACAACCAGCAGAGCATGATGCTCGCCCAGGCCGCCGGCATCGACACCACCCGCCGCGGCGTCCAGTTCAACCGCTTCGACGACCCCGTCCAGGGCTGCGCCCCCAACTCCTGGTTCGTCTCGGCCCTCTTCTCCGTCTTCTGGGCCGACCCGTGCTTCATCAACCGCGACACGCGCCTGCACAGCTCCAGCCAGCACCGTGGCGGCCGCCGCGGCGGCTGCGGCAGCGGCCACATGGAGGAGCAGGGCAGCCGCGACCGCCAGGGCAGCGAGCGCTACCTCGAGATCAAGTTCCACAGCCAGGGCGGCGACAACAACTCCAAGACGCGCACCGTCGAGGTCAACTACGACATCCCCGTCAACAACTCCAACAACCAGCCCCTGTACTGCCGCTCCTCGGACGGCGCCGACATCTGGCCCTCGCTGTACGAGAAGGCCTTCACCAAGTGGGTGACCGAGACCGACTCTGAGCACCCCGACATCACCCAGCTGCACTGCGGCGATCCCATCAAGGCCATGGCCCAGATCAACGGCCGCACCCCGCACTACTACGAGTGCCGCAACCACGCCGCCATGGACCTCATCGGCCTGGTCCGCGCCAACTGCGTCAACTTCAAGACCATCAACCCCATGTGCGCCTTCACCTACGCCACGGGCCAGCAGTTCTGCGGCTCCAACCTGGTCGCCAACCACGCCTACTCGGTCCTGGGCTACATCGTCCGCGGCGACCGCCACTACGTCGTCCTCCGCAACCCGTGGGGCGTCACCGAGCCCCAGGGCCTCACCGCCTACCAGGGCCTGCTCACCCGCGTCGACCCCGAGATGTGGACCCCCGCCGCCCTGCTCGACCACGGCGGCCTCTTCGCCCTCGAGGTCGACAACTTCAAGCACTGCTTCCAGTACATCGGTGTTGCCAAGTAAAGCGCCCACCCCGCCCGCCACTGGCGACAACGGCAACTGCCATCTTGGCACGGCTCGGGGCACTTGCAGCCCCCCTCCTGATGGCCCGTCCTCTTCCCTTCTCTCCCCTGCTGTGCTGAGGCCTTTTTACCTGTTGATGCTTGTCTGCGGATCGGGTGTCATCGAGTTTTGTTCTGTTCTTTTCTGTCCTTTATGAAGAAAAAGTCCCGCCCCCTGGGTAATTTGGACGATGAAAAGGTTTGGAGAAAAAAAGGGGAGCCCAGGGTAAACCCATTAAAAGTCGTTCCTTTACAACATTTTCCTTTCTCACAAGTTATGCATCCGCAGACGCCACATTTCCTATACACACATCCCCTATTTGCCTGTTCTACTGTGGCTGATGGGGGCGGATGGACAAACGAAAGTGTGGCTGGATCAACAAAAAAAGTCAGTCAGCAGCTTTAGCTCTAGCTTGAATTGACGTGCATTCCTTAATCTTCTGATCCCTTGCATGTGTGAATGGTATCAACCTGAGTGCATTGATGGTTACCCCTAACTTTTCTTTTTGCAATAGCAGCTTTCAATGTCTTCATGAGTCAAGCTGTAGAACAAGAAAGACTGTAGAACAGGAAAGCTGGAAGAACAGGAGGGGCTATAATCAAAACAAGAAAGTTGCTAAATAAGACTGTGTGAAGTTTACCGAAGGAAGAATGTTATAACGTGAAACGGTATATATCAGCTTTGTTTAACCGTGATGACTGTGTCAAGCCAACATGCAATGCTCAATGCCAGGGAGGAATGCAGTTGGAGCCAGCACTGAAGCAATGCTTCTATAGCGATATGGAGGGGACGTCCATGTGGGAGCCATGGTGCAAGTGGGAAGCATTGAGGACGTCGGGATGTGATGCTTGTGTCTAGTGCTGGCCCCCTTGGTGCTGACTGCATGTGACCAGTGATTAGTCAAGGGCGATGATGTTTAGGAAGCAAAGGCATAAAGGGGACGGCATACTTGACGTCGAACTGGGACCCAATGAAGGCAAAGTCGGACGGGTGGCTCATCTGCTGCCCTTGGTACTCGTCCCACTGTGACTGCTCGTGGACTCCAGCATGGCCCTGGTACCCCTGAGTGTTGCCGGCCTCGGGCGACGTCACTGAGCCCTGCTGTGCCTTGGTGCTGGACGTTGCGCGTCGAGGGCGCTTTTGCGTGGACCTTTTGCTGGAGTCTTGTCAGGACCTTGCTCCGGCCTCCTGGTGCGGAACAGGTGACAGCAACGGGATATGGTCCACTCACTTGCTCGTCTTGGGGGTGTTGGTGGTGGTGGTCATTGTGGGTGTGTGTGGGTGGCGAGGGTATCTTGTGGGGGCTTCTGATGGAGAGGGCTCGGAGCACGGTCCTCAGGAGATACCAGGATGTGGGAGGCGGTTCTAGGGTGTGCGAGAGGAGAGATACAGGATGGGCTGGAGGAGCGGCTTGAGAAAGGGGAAGAGATTTGGGATGAGAGAAGCACACATTCGGTGCCATTGCTGGTCCTATATAGACGGCCATAGAGTAGGCCCTGCCCGGCTCCGACTTGCGTCAGTGCTGTCTCCTCGCCCGCCTAGTCCGCATTCCCTTTTGCTCCTTGACACATGCGTTGGTGCCGGAACACTAGGCATATCAGGCCCCGCGAGGCAGTGCGGAACCTCCTGGCGTCCCGTTATCCTTCTGGATTGGCTACTCTCTTTTTTGCATAGCAAGGATATAAGGAAACGCAGCGCCATCAAGCTCAATCCCGTACCCCATGCGATGTGGATGGTGCTCATTGTAGCCGCATCTGAACCTGGCGAGCGAGCTACCCTTGGCTCCCGCCCTCGTGGAGCGGCGCTCATTGGCTGTTACCCTTTTGCACCGGCCGTTTATTGGCTATTGCCCTTTTGCACGGCCCACCTGGCCCAGCCGCGTTGGCCACGCACTAAGGCAGCCGCCATCAAGTTCAATCCCCGTACCGCGATCCGCGATGTGAATGATGCGAGCTACCCTTGGCTCCCGCCCTCGTAGAACGGCACTCATTGGCTGTTACCCTTTTGCACCGGCCGCTTATTGGCTGTTACCCTTTTGCGCGGCCCCCCGGCCGTGCAAAATGGTAGCATGCGTATACTGTGCATGCGCTGGGGCGGCGATATTGTGTGGGTGGGCCTTGTCACTATTGGACAGTCTCTGTTTGCTAGCCCGACGGTTCCTGTCCTGCCCCGGGGTGTGGCTATGAGTTGGCTGTCCGGCGATTTGCACGACGGCGGGGCTGTTCGTCAACTGCCTGTCGCCTCGTTGGGCGTCTGTCCAGCCCCAGCATGCTACCACGCAGTAACATGCAGGCATGGCGAGATAGCCAGCGACAACTTTTGTACCCGCCAATGTACACACGAGGCTGCCGCGGCCCATGCGAACCACTCAGATTGCCCATAAAGACCGCATTTCCCCCAGTGGCTCTTGTGCTCTTCTCCTGACCCCAAGCCCTCATCCCCCCTTCCAACCGTATCGCAGCTTGGCCAATCACATCCACTCCCCACACGCTTCGCACCCCTCCCCTCCGTCCATCTCCAGACACCATGGACGAACCCCCAGATCCAGCCACCATGGATCGCAGCATCCCCCACGACAAGCGGTGGCCCTTGCTGAAGGACATCATCATCAACCTCTTCATCGGACGGGATCTCAAGATCGCCGATGTCGCCAAGCATATGAAGGAGGCGTATGGGTTCGACGCACAGTGAGTTGAGCACCCGGCGGGAAACATTCTTCTCCAGTCCTGACGCACGTCAACTGACCGTCTGCACCGCAAACTTCCTTCTGCCTAGGCTAGCACACTACCGCTACCGGTTCAAATCCTGGAACGTCCACAAGCGCACCACCGCTCTCGAGAAAGACAAGATCATCCAGCGTCACATCAAACGTGGTCGTGCGGGCGCAAGCACTTCCGACATCGCGCTTGTCAAAGGGGGCATCGAGAAGCCCTTCTCAGAGAAGGCCAAGGCGCAGCTACGGAGGTATGCAAACGAGAAGAGCAAAATGGGGGCTGCTTCGCTGCCTGCCATCGTTCCGGGTTTGTAAGTAACGCCCTGTCATGAATTACGGCTTAACCACATGCAGCGACTAACGGAAGAAACAGCATCCTGAAATGGGACTTTCCATACCATGCCCTCCTTTCGACAGGCAGTGGCCCTTTCGATCATACGTCGCCTTCCGCGTCCACGCCTCCCTTTCTCACAGTAAACAGCCCTCCCGCGGCGGCTCCATCGCCTGGTCGGCCCGTCAATGCCCCCTCGCCTACTGCTCTGGCCTTGCGGAAGATTGGATCACTCGACCACGTCGGCATGTTTCTCCAAGGGCGGTCAATGGAGCTGCTGAAGTCCCTTAGCCCAGTCGAGCAAAAGTAAGAAATCTCCGTCCCTGCATGATGGTGTTTCTCAACTGCGAAGTTGTCAAGGCTAACCATTGAACTCTAGAGCCGCTTCGGTGTGGTTTCATGACCTGTTTCTCTTCTCCTTCATGTCAGCCAAGTACTTTGGCAAAGGGCCTACTCGCTGGGATGCGGGCCTTATCGCCGCAAGAAGCCTTGGATCCCAGTTTGCCGGCGCCAGCCCATCGCCCCGACCAGCTCATGCCTTGACAGGGACACCCAAATCAGCAACCTCTTTCGACGATCCAAAGCCACCGACAATGCTTTGTCGATGGTCCATCCATTACAAGCCCGAAGTTGATGAGCGTCACATTGAATGGGGCCCAGATCCAGTCGCCGCCGCAGACTCCCACGCGCAAGATCTTGACGATGAGTCGACTTGGAGACCATGGACCGGGGAAAGCCAGTACCTCCCGGATGTTATACAAGAGGGCATCACTTCTGAATCGTTTACCCAGGCAACAACATCCCTCCCGGTATCGTCTCCGATTGTGTCGGAGGCTTTGAGCAAATCACCTGCCCAACTCGAAGTCGAAGCAATTGCCTTGGGGATAATATGTGGAAACCTCGAGAGTTGTCGTGGCCTTTTGGAGGACCAAGAAGAGGAGAAGCGCAAGCTATTGGTCGAAATACACCCGTTCCACCTGGCTGCTACAAACCTGCGTGGTACAAAAGGTTGCTGCGGGATCATGCGCGACCTCACCATGATGCTGCAAGATGATCTGTCCGTCGGAATGCTGTACCGAAACGGCAACGGCCACACGATTCTCGACAGTTTGATGGTTACCATACTACGATCTCACACATCTGCTAGACCCGCACTGGTTTGCAGCTCCTTTGACAGACCAGAGAGATTCCCTGGAGAAGGCATTGACATTTGCGGAAGATTCGACCTGGACTCGCCCTGCACTCGTCAACTTTTCGCATCTGGCCAAATCGCAGTCCCTATGTCCTGGAAGCACGTCTTCTGCCATACCTCGGCTCAGGCAATCTGCCATACAATCATAGCAATATTCTCGCGGCCCTGGAGCCCCAAGATCAACACACCTTCCGGAATCTTTATCAGAACCTGCAGCTGCTGTCACAAGCTGCTCGTGCCAACCCCACTACACACCCTTGTCGTGGTTGCATACCTCCTAGCAACACAAGGATCGCCAGGGGAGACTTTGTTTGGCGCGATCGCGGTTCTTTCCTGCATGCTAGCGCTAGGTACAGATCCGCTAGAGGAATCCGACCTTTCACATCAACTCATACTATCCGGATGCGCTGCGCGTTCTACAACGGAGCAGTGTGAGCATGCCCCTGCAACACCTCTGCGCCTCGCTCATGCGCTCCATAGAAGCTCGACCGGTCCGTGGGCACCCGAATCCCGTCTCGGTTGGGACATCTTTGTCAAGGTTTTGGCTGAGGGAGAGAAAGCACGTGGCCCTACTTCATCTCCGATGTCCACATGTAGCCACATCGATTTCGATACTGGTGAATACTGGGCTCATAACCACTTTTGCGGGAGTCCACAGTTAGGGCAGCTGTGGGCTGCGGTGCAAGCGGAACTGGTTACCTACAGAAGGCTTGATGAGGACCAGCCATGGCTCTCACCCCATTTCGACCTTCAGCTTCTGCAAACGGACTCGACTGCTGCACTCGACGCGTCCGGCCTCCCGCTAATCGCAAAAGGGATGCTGAAAGAGTGTACCCCGTGTGGTTGGGTTGTGTCCCGGTGGCTTCGTGTGTCAGAGGCGAAAGCATTTCTCATACCCTCTGCCCAGGACATTTGTTCATATTACTTTATGAACATGGACAGCTGGAAAAGAACGGATTTTTGCGAACCATGGAACCCTAACACCTTTTGTATCGAGAGAGAGAAAGGCTCAGAATCTAGCAACTCAGAGCAATCCAGCCACGATGAAGACATGTCGGACGAGGGGGGCCAGAACGAGGAGATGGTGGACGGGGACGACGCTGCCCCCCACGACGGCCAGGATGAGAATATGATGGATGTTGATGCGCTACCCCCCAGCGACGGGCAGGAAAGCAACGGGTATCACTTCGGTCATCAAGGGGGAGGGGGCGACGTAATGTGAGAAAGCGGTAGGTTCAGCCCTTCCGGGGGTTGGTATAGCTAGTTCACACCTGAGTACGCGCGGGGACAGTTTTTTGCAGAATAGGCTGGTGCTAGGCAGGGTTGCAAGGTTTTCTTCTTACAAGCATTGCATTTGTGGGCAATCCTCTATCTAGGTGCACGACGTGGCCGGTGCACGAGGCGACGTCGCCCGTTGCCGTGGGCGGTGCAGTTCCTGGGCCTATCAGGTCGGGGCTAACGTAATAAAGCTATAGGGCCCGTATACGCCGGTGAATTGTGGGCTGCCCCAAGTCAAAAGCGCGTCCACATGTCAACACTTCCAACTCGTTTCAATGCCCGCAACCCATTGAACCGCGCACATCATGGAGGCCATAATAAACCAAGAGGCCATTTATCGCGTCGCCCGGATGAACCGGGTCGTCGCCCCTGGCGACCCCGATGCGCGGCAGCTCTACGAGGCGGCGCGCGCAGGCGACATGGGCGGGGTCATGTCGGCGCTGCAGAGGAGCCCCACCATCGACATTGACGCTGCCCACAGCGAGAAGCCCGACTTCACCCCGCCCTTCGAAACGGCCCTCCACGCCGCCGTGAGGGGAAACCACGCCGACGTCGTGGCCGGGCTCATCGCCCTGGGCGCCAACGTCAACGCCGACTCGGACATCAGGCTCGGGCTTGCGCTTCTGTCTCCGTTGCACGTTGCCGTCATGGACCGAGACTCGCAGAAACTACCCATAAGCATGGAGCTCTTGTGCCTCCTGCTCGACTCTGGCGCAGACGTCAACCGGAAATACCATTTCGGCTTTGACAATGGCCCGCTGTGCAACCTTGTTCTGGAAAGGGTAGATATGGTGGACCGGACAAATGGCATCCAAGTCCCCAACCAGGCAAATCTGGATGCCATAGACTTGTTCATCAGCCATGGCCACGACGTCAACATGCCCGGGAGTCTCTGGCACTTTTTTGAGTATTTTTTTGCCCTTCAGATTTTTTAGTAGTCTCCCTCTGCGACTCAATTAATTCTAACCAGATCTAAAGGCAAAGGTGGCCTTGGGCCATGGCGGGCTCCCTTTACTCAAATGGGCAGCGACACGGGGTGCTAGGGTAACCCCTGATATCCTCTCGGGCTATATGTCCTCTTTCGGGTTCAGCGTAACCTCGGAATGGATCAACTATGTCGTCGAGCTCGGTTACGATGACCCCGACGTCCGCATAGGCATGCTGTCGGGGTTGGGGCATGCAAATGGCTTATGTCGTGGACAGAAGTCCGAGTTCCAGACGCAAGATGAGCTCAAGGAGGGTGCCGACAGGATCCTTGCTGGCTCCGACAGAGAGGAAATGGTATGGCGGATGCCCAAGGTCCTTTTTGCAGCGGTCGAAAAGGGATATCGGGGCCTTGTCGAGTTTTGGTTGGACGAGCGTTGGCGTGATTGGGGGATCGACATCAATGCGAGCGAGGAACATAGCAGGCAGACGGCAATGCACAAGGCTGCGGCTTCATACCGCAATACTCGCGACGTCGCCGATTTCCTCCTTGGCCGCGGGGTGGACGGCGATGCCACCGACAGTACTGGGTGCACGCCTCTGCTCTGTTGCCAAAATGGGGGATGTAGCGGCGCTGAATTCGCCAAACTTCTCCTCAAGCACGGCGCCGACGTGAAGGCCAGGGACAAGGCAGGAAACAACGCCCGTAAGTTCTCGCCCACCACCTGGCATCTTTTGCACGTGAATGGTGCTACCTTTTTTTTTTACCACGCGCGCGAACCCGTTATCAGTACACCGCTGCGTTAATTCGCAGCCCGTTGTTCCCAAACAGCCCGCAATTGTCGTTACCCTGCTCGCGGCGGGCGCCGATCCGGACGCCAAGAATGACGTCGGAGACACGCCGCTTCACGTCGCCATCAAGCTCGCGCCCCCCCCGGGCTGGACGGATGCATCGGCATATTCCACTGTATGAGGGCCCTGATTGATGCGGCGAAGGACATCGGCGCCGTCGACGCCGCAGGAAAGACGGCGCTGCAGCTCCTCCCTTACGAGCCCTCCCGCACGCCTTGGGTGGACCTGATAGCCATGGCTCTCCGCAGGCGGGGGTCCTTGACGGGAAATCCAGGGGCTGATGGCGGCAGAGTTAGTCCAGCGACCTACTGGTTGATGTAATATTACGTGACCCTGGCACACACGTGCACCGGAACTTCCCAAACAAGGACGACGGAGGGAGCGAGCTGCAAACCAGGGCGCACAGGTGGGGGTGACCACCTGATGCTGTGCGACGCATGAACCCCAGAGTTCCATATCGAGCCCCAGCTGGGCCCGTTTCTGTTGCTTTAGGCTAAATAAACGAAAGTCGAAAGGACTGACCAGGGAACAAATGGAAGCACCACCATCCACCATCCATCCCATCGGCCGCTTTTTCTGCCCATGAGTCCGAGCCCCCCTTGCATTCACGACTCCGGTAACATGCATGCACCCCGGAAAACGCACTCTGTGCTGATGGGTGGGATTTCGTCTCCCAAGTGCCGACTGTGGAGGAGCCGCCTTGGCGGGAAAATTGCCGCCTGGCGTCACGGGTTTCTGCAGCCGACGACGTGAGGATGTGGTGTGTTATTCCCGGGGGTGCCATCTCTTTTATCTTTTATCTTTTTTATTTTATTCTCGTTTTTATGCAAGGCGTGCTGGATCTCGCCGACTCCCGCATGAAAGCTGTGTCTTTGGCCAGGGTATAAGACACGTAGCCTGGCGATTGGCTTTGCGAGCACTTTGCCATCAATCTCGAGTCTTCTCTGGGATGCTGGCGCCTGTGTCGAGAGGGGCCACTGCAAGCCAACAGCCCTGGGTGCCCGGCCAAGGGCTGACCTATATCGGCCTGGGCAGGGGCCACCCCAGACGCTCGCGCGAGGCTCCATCAACGTCGGCCCGCCATCTGCTCACAAGGTGATGGGCAAGGACCCGGGGTGGATCCCCCCGGCTAATCAACCTGGAGCCATTTGCGCATCATTTGTGGCACCCCCCCCTGGCCGTTTGTTTCTGTCTCCTCCTCCTCGGCCGTCCTGCCCGTGATGGAGACGGACGCAAGGCCAAGCTCCGCCGCGATCCATGTTACCCTCCCCTCCACTAGGCACCCGAGCAGGAGCCGGTGGCGTCCCGCCGCCCTGCGAGCCCGAGTCTGGCAGAGGTCCGATCAAGCATTTGCCGTGGGCGCAGTTAAGACACAGCACCCGGCTGGGCAGAGGTGGGAGGAGATGATAGCCGACGACTGGATGGCACGCGGCTCTCTTTTGGCGCCTTGGCCTTTTCTGGCGGTTGAGTTGATCGTCGAGTGGCGATGCTTGGCAAAATATAAAATATTTGCTCGTCCGTATGGGAACCTGGCACCCTGGACGTCGTCCGACTCTGTTTCCCGGAACGGTGACAAGGACGTCAAGGACGCTGGTTCCGAAGTTGCCGTAGACGGACAAGTTTACCCAGCACATGTTTCGATCGACCGTGCGAGGGGGTCCCTTGGCTGAAACCTGGCTCTCCGCCCCCCTGTCGACTGTCCCGTCGGCCGCCCTATCGACGGATGCGTACGCTCATCCCCGCGGATCGACGACGTACGATGGGCGCATCGACAAGATGGGGCTGTGTTGGCGGGGTAGTTTAAACGCGCAAGCCGTAGATTAACTGCTATAGCCCGATTATTATGCTCGGAGAGGCTGCGGCGCGCTCCCAAAGGGTGCGGCGGTTGCGAACGGCAGTCATTTGGGAGGGCGCATAAAGGGGGGGACTGTCCCGTCCGCAAGGTGAATCAGTCGTCTCCCGGCTCAGCACCCGCGCTCCCAGCCGTGAAATCCATTCATTCCTTCACCTCCGGCCTTTGCCACTCTCACACTCGCCCTCACAGACACACACCGCAAACCGCCAACATGGTCTCGTTCACGTCCCTCCTCCTGGCCGTCTCGGCTGCCGTCGGCGTGTGCGCCAACCCGGTGCCGCCCAGCATCGAGGAGATGCGCGAGACGTTCCTGCAGAAGCGCGGCGGCACGCCCAGCGCCACAGGCACGCACGACGGCTTCTACTTCTCGTGGTGGACCGACAACCAGGCCCAGGCCACGTACACCAACGGGCCCAAGGGCCAGTACAGCGTCACGTGGTCCGGCAACGGCAACCTCGTGGGCGGCAAGGGGTGGAATCCGGGCAGCAGCAACAGGTATGTGTAATCTAGTGATGTGTATCTAGTGGCCTGATGGTATTAGCAAGATATGACACTAACCCTCGGCCGCCGCAACAGGAACATCTCCTACACCGCCCAGTACCGTCCCAACGGCAACAGCTACCTGGCCGTCTACGGCTGGACGCGCAACCCGCTGGTCGAGTACTACGTGGTGGAGAACTTTGGCACCTACGACCCCAGCTCGCAGGCCTCGCGCAAGGGCACCATCAACGTCGACGGGTCCAGCTACCAGGTGGCCCAGTCGACGCGCGTCAACCAGCCGTCCATCGAGGGCACCCGCACCTTCCAGCAGTACTGGTCCGTCCGCCAGCAGAAGCGGTCGAGCGGCACCGTCAACATCAAGGCCCACTTCGACGCCTGGGCCGCCCAGGGCCTGAAGCTCGGCACCCACGACTACCAGATCGTCGCCACCGAGGGCTACTTTAGCAGCGGCTCGTCCACCGTGACCGTGAGCTAGGTGTTTTGCGTCATGTTTTTGCATGTCCCCCCAGACACCTGGTGCGTCTTTGAGACCGAGTTTTTGTGTGTGGCTGTAGCCATCACTGGGCTCTCTCCGAATTGGGTTTCTTCTCTTCTTAGGGCAGGGGGCTTACCCGCCTTGCCTGTGTATATATCTAGAGCCAAAAAAATATGCTCCTTTGTGCCTCATCGCTTGGAAGGTGTTGCCTCCTCCCTATCTCTTTAGAATCCGACCCAGCCACCACGCTCTGATGGCGGGGCAGGGCCGCGTTGCCCCTGTATCAGCTTATAAGGCTAGACTGCTAGCTCGGCGCCATGCTCCCGGTCATCAGTGGGCTTCACGCCGTTCTGAACGGTGAATCAAGCTTTGGGGCGTTCCTGATGGGATTTCCCGGCTTAGCGATACATCGGCGTTGACCGCCGCCCAAGTAATTTCCCTTGCAAGGGCCGCCACGCCCAGAGCTGAGCATGCGCACGAACATCCAGACGACGGCTTATCGATGCGGCTGAGCGGCTGGAGGCTTACTAGTGTTGTTGACATGTTCCAAGTCGATACTACAGACTTGGACATCTATAAAGCGGTCAGTCATGTCGTGGGATTGTGAACGTCTGGCTGTTGCGGCATCGTCGTCAACGACAAAGAAGGCCCCTCATATATCCACCATTAACCGCCCATAATGAGGTTCACCGTCGAGACCGCGCTGGGCATGCTGGCCACGGCCACTGTCGCCGTCGCCGGCAGCTGCAACGCCAACAACTGCGCCCGCGCCGTCACGGGCACGAGGGACAAGATCCCGTCGCTCGAGACCCGCCGCGTCGACTGCTCGGCCTTTATGCTGGCCACCCTCACTCCCGCCACCGTGTAAGTGCCCGGGACGAGCGTCTGGTCATACAAGCCGTGTCGCTCGGAACTGACAGTCCGCCCTTTCGCCTCCCCCCAAGAACCACCACGACCACCATCTCCGTAACCGTAAGCAAGTCCACGACGTCGACCACCACCACAACCACCACTACCACCTCGACCACCACCACCGGCATCCTCGACCCCCGCCAGGTCACGCAGGTGCCGAGCCTCGTGCCGGCCTACGCGAGCGCCTGCCCCGACGCCGCCGCCTATAGCTCGGCCTGCTCGTGCTGGGGCGTCACGGGGCGCACCACAACCGCCGGCGCGCCCTCGGCCACGGCCAGCACGACGGCGACCGAGACGACCACCGTCACGGTCGCGGCGACGGCCACGGCCACGGCCGTCCAGGTGGCCAAGGTGTGCGCCCTGCCCGCCGCGCCGTGCGACCTGCCCCGCCCGGACAAGTGCTGCACGCTCACGTGCTGCCGGCTCGTGGGACAGACGCAGGCCCGCTGCACCGACGACCAGGGCAGCTGCTTCTCTTCGGGGCCGTCCAAGCGCTGGGTGTTGCTGCGGAGCGAGCCGGTGGCCGCCGAGGGCGCGAGCTGGTCGCGTATGAGGCCCGACGGGACGCTGGAGGTGCACAAGGCCGAGTAGGGAGCGTTCTGGCAAGGGGCATGGACCGTGTTGGGTCCGTCCAGCGGGCGCGTGGTGCGAAAGGGAGGAGGTTGCGGGCTGATAAAGGACGTTCCTGACTGTTGAGCTTTCTGTCTGACAAATCTAGCCTAGCCTGAGGCCAGGAATCGGCGGTGCAACCTAGAGCTGCGTCGCGGCCGGCATTGGAAGCTCAAGGCCGTCGGAGCGACTCTGAGCTGTCTAGTTCTAATAATGATCATATGGCATAATGCTGCTCCAAGATACTGCATGAGCTGGATGGAGTTGGGTGCGTAGACTTAGATATGTAAGGCGCCTATACACTGACGCCATCAGGTTCAAATAACCTCTCGCTATTCCCCATCCCTATCACCTGCACTCACCTCCCAGATCATAGCACAAGCCCCCCTGCTTCCCATAAAAGCCCACAGACAGCATTATGTCCCGCGCAATCCTCGTCACCGGCTGGTGGCCGCACGCTGGGGCTGGCTGGAGACGAGCTCACGCTTGCGCAGCTGGATGAGGTCTTTGCCAGGGTCACGGGGAAGCCGTTTGACATGCTCGGCCTGCGCCAGGAGGTTTTCCCCGGGATGGAGGAGGTGGTGAGGTGGATGGTAGAGCGCGGATACGACGTCCATGTCGCCAGTGTGGGGACATGCACCGGGCCTGACCAGCATGGAGGAGTGGCTGAGGAAAAGCCCTATTGTGAGTTTTGGGTCTGCTTTTGCTCTGTGCAAAGTACTTACTAACTGCTAACCACGCAATTGCACAGATGGACGACTAGCTGGGTGGCTGTTGACCCGCATTCTAGCATCCATGTATGTGTCTGGCTGCCACGGAACGTTGCCGACGTTCCATTCACGATCCAATCATTGCCCATTGCGGACGGCAAGAGTTCAGGCTAAGCGGCGTGGCGAGGAGGCAACACGATGTAGTTATGAATAGATGGGCATGTTCAATTACACCTGCATAATGGCCGGCTCTGGGCCATCACCGCTGGATAGGCTGAACTGCCAAGGACGTCATTCTGCGCCGTTGCTTTCCGTTGTGTTGAAGAGACTACAGCTTTCCGTGATGGGGCGATGGTGACTGCCGAGGCGTGCAACCATTGCAACAAATCAAGGCTCATGGCACCGTCATACCAGCAGCACACGTAACCATCTCGAGGTGGATCAGTGTCACCTATATCACGTCGAGGGCCTCTGCGTGTCTGGACTTGGCTCCCCTTTCCCCAAACGTGACACTTGCAACCTGCTTCCCGACAGACGCCAGCCACCAGAGAACCGCCTTGCTTCCCACTCAAACCTCAAACCTACCGTCGCCATGCACTCACTCGCCACCGCCATGCTCCCCCTCCTCGCCCTGTCCCACGCCCTCGCCACCCCCCTCCCCTCCGCCCCGGCCCTCTACGGCTTCAACTACAGCCTCTCCTCGCCCTCGACCTACCACGCCCTGGTGGCCTGGCCGCTCGACGCGGCCCCGCTCATCCCGTCCGCCTCCAACGGCGCGCACCTCTCCATATCCGGCACCGACCGCGACCCGCGCACGACGGCCCCTCCCGTCCCCCACTCCCTCTTCATCGAGCTGCCCCGCCTGATCCGCGGCGGCTACTACAAGCGCGTCGACCTGCGCGTGGGCTGCGCGCGCGCCACGGCCGTCGACACGGCGCGCCTGGCCAACTTCAACGGGCGCTGCAACTCTGCCCAGAACGGGAGCGAGCCCGTCTGGTGCAGGGTGCCGCTGGCCGCCATCGCCAACGAGCCGTCGGCCGGGTGCACGCCGGGCGAGACCTTTACCGACTGCAGGCGGTGGGGGAACCTGAGCGGGCCGGAAAAGACGCTCAAGATTGCGCTGTGGGCGGGCGTGCACGTCGGCGGCAGGGACGTGCAGCTGTGGGGGCTGGGCGATAGGTGCGTCGCCGACGAGCGCGTGAGGCCGACGCTGCAGCATCCCACGTGCCCGGACGTCGGGGGGTTCGAGATGACGCAGGAGTTTGAGGTTGGGGTGGTGTGCTCCATGGCTTAGGGGGTGGGGGGTTCTGGGGTTAAACGGGGAGGGAAGAGTGACAAGAATGTATTATCAAGGCAACACTACGCAATCCAGAACCAGATCCTCTCCAGCCAGTTCCGCGGCTTCACCACCGGCCACGTCGACTCCAGCCGGTCAATCTCGGCCTTGCCCGACCAAATGTCCATCTCGTCCAGCCCGACGAACCTCGTCCTCTTGACAAACTTGTACCCGAAAAACAGCGCCAGAAAGATGGGGATGTTGATGTACGGCGGTATGAACGTCTTGGCGCTGAACCTCCCCGGAAAGAAGGCATCGAACCCGTTGAACAGCGCGACCACCAGGCAGAAGCATATCGCAAAGTAGGCCAGGAACGGCTGGCCCCGAGCGCGGTAGGGGATCGCCTCGCGCGGCACGCCCTGGCGGCGCAGCGCGTAATGGAAGCGCAGGTACGTGTAGCAGACGCTGGCCCAGACGACAAGGGTGCTGACGGCGCTCAGGTTGGAGATGTAGTAAAACGCCGCCACGGACCCCTCGCTCACGCTCATGTACGACAGGCAGCCCAGCGCCGCCGTGGCCGCCACGCAGCCGTACGGCACGCCGAAGCGCTCCCAGCGCAGGAACCGGGGCGCCTTGCCGTCGAGCGCGGCCGAGTAGAGCACGCGCGTGGACGCGTAAAAAAAAGAATTGCCGGCCGACCAGGCGCTCGACAGCACGACGGCGTTGATGATGTGCGGCAGCGTCTTGATGCCCGCGTTGTCGATGGCGATGACGAACGGGCTCTGGCCCGCGCCCGGGGCCGACGACGAGATGGCGTTGAGCAGCTTGGGGTCGCGCGACGACGTGCACAGGCCGACGAGGAAGATGGCCAGGACGTAAAAGATGGCGATGCGCCAAAAGACGCGCCGGATGGCTTTTGGGATGTTGCGGCGCGGGTTCTCCGTCTCGCCCGAGGCCACCACCACCATCTCGCTGCCGCCGTAGCTAAAGGTGGCCTGAATAAAAACCTTGAAGAAGGCCAGGAACCGACCCAGGTCGCCCGTCGCCAGCTCGCTGTACTCGTTCATGGGGCCCGGGTCTGTCCAGTACCGGAACCCGATGGCCTCGCCCGACGGGCTCGCCCCGACGGCGATCAGGAACATGAGCACGATCAGCCCGACGATCGTGGTCAGCTTGACGGCGCCCAGCACGAACTCGGCCTCGCCGTAGACGCGCACGGGCAGGCAGTTGATGAGCACCATGGGGACGAAGAAGATGGTCACCAGCGCCGCCTGCGGGATCCCGTGCGCGCCCCAGTAGTCGACGATGACGGCGCTGACCGTCACCTCGATGGGCACCCCGATGGCGAACTGGTACCAGTAGTTCCAGCCCAGCGTGAAGCCCAGCGCCGGGTCGACGTAGCGCGCCGCAAACACGGGCACGGCCCCGGGGATGGGCAACCACGCCGCCATCTCGCCAAGCGAGTTGATGACACAGTAGAGGTTAAAGCCCGTGACGGCGTAGCTGTTTTGTGGTGTGTCAGCAGTATCTCTTCCTCCCCATCCCCTCAACGCGAAACTCGGGGACAACCCACGAAATAAACGCAGATAATGGCCCCGCCAGGCTCAGCGCCTGCCCGGACCCGACAAACAGGCCCGTGCCGATGGCGCCGCTGAGCGCCAGGAACTGCACGTGCCGCGACTTGAGCCGCCGGTCCAGCGTGCCGATGTGGCGGAGCTCGTTGTCCTCCATCCCGTGCTTTGCATCGTCGCCGGCGTCGTGGTGCGCTGCCTTGGTCTCCACAGTGCCGATGCCATCGCCGCTACGCCGCCTGCCTCCGCCCGTCGGCGCCGCCCGTTGGCCCTCGATGTCCTTGTCGTCGCGGTCCTTGGGCTCCGCCATGGCCAACCTAAAACGGAGGGAAAGAGAATCAGGGTGTACCCGGGGTGATCGGGAAATGACGCCCACAAGAGCTGGTCCGAAACCACAAGATGGAGGCGCATTCAAGCTTTTAGCGCCCGAGGGTGGTGGCGGGCTTGGGGCGGCTTCACCGACATGCTAAATATGGTTGGCAAACCCCCTCACTTGGCAGCAAGCCGCTCACCCCCAGCTCGACAACAACGACGCATCTGGCCTATCTGGCGGCGATAGGCCTCAGTGTGATGGCTGCAAGTGGCCGCCGCTGCAGCTGTGGGCGCGCGACCTACCGCTTCAGGAAGGCGAGGCGGGCCCTCCGCCCAGGTGATCAAAGCTGTCGGGCCAGTTGGGGACCGAAGGCTCCTGGTATGTAACGGCATGGGGTTGCAGAGGGTGTGCGAGCTTGGCCGGCAATGCATTGCTGGTCCTTGCAACGTAGCATGCAGCTGTTGCTACTGCCGTGACTGCGGGGTAGGGAGCTGCGCGGTTGCACGACTTGGCATGTTGGATATATGCACTGGCATGAGATCAGCAGCAGTCTCCCCAGATACTGACTGTCGTCACAACACACCTCATCCGAGACCACCGAGATATCAAGAGGAGCACACCCGCAAGCGTTAAATATGCATTGAAAGCGACGCGATGCCGTTTGATGTCGCTAACCGACATCAAAGAAGTTCGATATAAGCCCGGGCACAAGGAGATGCGTCACAAACCCCTAGCTCCCTTTCCTGGTCCACCCCATCCCTGGCCTTCTTATGGCATCATAGAGTTGGGGTCGGTGGACGGCCTCCAACACTCGAAAGAAAATAGCCTGCCTTGGCCAAGTGAAACAAACGCCCAGAAGAAACAAGCAGAGCGACCGTGGGACGAGGGATACTGAGATGCTCCTGGACGCCAGATGCACCGCCATCCTTCCGCCGGTCCCGACAAGCCAAATAATTTGTCGGATGCCACCAAACGCCAATAGGAAACACAAAAGAAAATAATAACATCATAGTCCCATCTCCCAAAGGTCGCCTGGGGAAGAGGGGAGAAATAAAATGCCTGGTAAGTTGAGAAGCGATGCTTGAGGGGGGATAGGCCAAAACCGTCAAGGAGAAATGTGGACACTTCATATGGTCCAGTGCCCATGCTGGACAGCGCCTAAGCCACCTGCGTCGCCGGAGGGGTCTGCTTTTGCCCTCGCCGGCCAAGCAGCGTCGCACCATCGAGGCTCAGCTCGAACGCGCCTTTCTGGCGGTTCCGGTCCCTAACCTGCTGTCTCGCTGCCGCCGTCACCGCCGCCGAATGCTGGCCGTATCCCCGCTGCTGTGCCTCGGCCGCGACGGCGGTTGGCGCGCCCTTGTGGCTCTCTCTTCCACGCCCGCGCTCTGGATCGCGGATGTTTGCGGCGCGCATGCTTTGCTCCAGCTGAGCCGTGTTGCCGCCCTCGTGCGCATACTCGCGGCTCTCATCACTACTAGCGTCGCGCATGCTCGAGTCTTCGTCCTCCTCCTCTTCCAAGTTGTTGAGGAGCGCGGGCCCGGCCCCTGCCATCTTGGTGCCCACCTGCTTGCGGCGCTTGCCCTCCTCCTCCTGGCGGTGGACGGCATAACCAACGTCAAACACCTCGCGCAGGTTGACAGCTCCGGGCGAGCGGAAGTCGTAGCGTCGGTCCCCTTCCTTGAACCTGCTAGCGTCAAAGGCTCGGAGCATGCCATCGGGAGTGAATTTCTTGTCGTCGCGTGGCGTCGGGCCCGAGCCGCGGATCCAAGGGTGAGCCAGGAACTCGGTTATCGTGTACCGCTTCTCCGGATCGACCGTCAGGAGGTGGCCAATCAGGTCCTGGGCCGACTTGGAAATGTCGTCCCACCACGGCGACAGGAACGTGTACTGTCCCTTGGCCACCTTCTCGGTGAGCACCTCGATGCTCTCGTCGTAGAACGGAGGGAAGCCGCAGAGCAGCGTGTACAAGACACAGCCGAGCGCCCACATGTCAACCGACTTGGAGTAACGCTCGTCCTTGACAATCTCAGGGGCCGTGTAGCCCACCGTGCCACATGGCGTCATAGTCTGTGTGTCCCAAACAATCTTGGACAGACCAAAATCGGCAATCTTGATCAGGCCAATGCCTCCAGCACCCACTCCGTGGATAAACTCTCCCTCGTCCACCTTGTCCTCGTCGCCGGGCTGTTTTGGCTGGGGGTTCTTTGACGGAACGATTGGGATGGGGACGAACAAGATGTTCTCGGGCTTAATATCCCTGTTGTGTGTCTCGCGTCAGTACCTCCATATGCGACGGCCAACAGATCACATGACGGCGCCCCCTCCCGGTGAGCGAAGTGGTGTCATCATCGAAGCCCGGCCTCGCCAACGGAGCGCTGCAGTACATCACCCACGCCGGCGGCATGCATGCATTCACGTACCTGTGTACCACACCCCGCTCCTCGTGCAGATACTCGAGCGCCTTGGCGACCTGCACGATCACATGACGCGACAGCTCCTCGCTGAAATACGTGAGCCGCACAATCTGGTGGAAGAGCTCGCCGCCAGGAGCCAGCTCGAGAATAATGTAGTAGTACTGCTTCGACTCTGTAAAGTCGATAAGCTTGATGATGTTGGGATGGTCGATCTGGCGCATTATTTGCACCTCTTTCAGGATATTGGCGCGCTACAAGACGGACGGCCGTGTCAGCGCACCAAGGTGGTTGCTAGCGAGGTGGTTACGGGGATCTTCCGCCGGCACGCTTGATCTGGGGAAAGAGCCCGGTCCCGGGGGTGCAGTGGCTGGAAGTAAGAAGCCAGGAGATGCGAGGAAAGACGAGGTGCAGTGGCAGTAGGAGATACTTCTTGACCAAGGAAAAGAAATTTCTCGCGCACCTCTGCAGCTTTCGGAGCCTTAGGTTTGAAGTCCGGATGGAGGTGCTTGTTTCCCTGTCGGTAGGCGGCGCACCCAGGCCTTGGTTGGTAACAGGAACGGACGCGCATCTCGACGGATGCGGCGACAAGCAGAAGCAGGAAAGGAAAAAGCCACAAGAAAAAGACAGACAGCAGGGAAGCACACGGAGCACAGCGGCGAAATCAATAGCTTGCTGGCGAGCGCGACAGACAAAAACCGGCTCGGCGGCTGGCCGCCAGTTCAGAAGTAACTCACCTGCATGCTGCTCATTTCGTATTTGCGCACCACCTTGATGGCAACCTCGCCTGGCTGGACGCGCTCGAGATCTCTGGCGCGGTAGACGTTGCTGAAGGCGCCATCGCCCATCTTTTCAAGAAGCTCCCACCTCTCGAGGCCGGGGTATTTGGGGAACTTTGACTTGCTGGCATTCTCCTCAGCCACCAGCTTGGCGATGTTGGTTTCATCTATGCGCTTCGACTTGCTCTTCGGGATACCCTGCGCGGCCTCGGCGTGGTGTGCGGCCATGTTGCCAGCCTGAGCGGCGCGGTTCGCAGCGTCCTGGCCCGGCTGTACCGAGTAAGCCTCTTGCGCGGGCTTGGAGGCGGGGATGGCGCCAAGAGCGGGTTCCGAGATGTTCTTCGGCGCGCCTAGTTGCTGCGGCGAGTTGTCGCGCTTTTGCGTCGGCTCGTCGAGGTTTGCTACCCTGGCCTGCTTGCCTGTGTGGTGGGAGATGCTGTCAGCGTGTTTGGGCTTGGTTGCACTTATTGTGGTTTGCGCCGATACGGCCGGGGCAAATAAAAATGGGCAGGTGCGTACCATGGCGGATAAAATTCTTGAGCTGCTGGATCGTCGACATGTTGCTACTGGCGTCGGCCGAACGTGGCTGACGACGGACTAAACTGGAGAGGCTGAAAAATGGGAGGCACCACGAGGTGACTTGGCTGCCGCGAGAGGCAGTCTCTGGCGCTCCTTCCTCGTCACCGGACTGGGTGCCGGGGAGGTCGAGGGGTCTCGGAAGGCGCGGAACTCGGACGTCTTCGGTTCAGGAGCACTTTAAACAATTTGCTGGAACAGTCGGATTCGGTCGTGTCGACGATTGCTCACGAGGTTCCTAGCCGAGGTTCCTTATCAAGTCGAGGACGGTGCGGTCGTGGTTTAGGGGTGGTTTCAGGGGAAGTTCTTTGCAATTGCCAGGCGGAGAGACGGCGACAATAGATCCCAAATCAAATAGCACGGTGTTTCCAAAGCGCGTGCTTGCTTAGTGCGAGTCGGCGTGGCCTTGACAAATTCGGCGGGTGGTGGATGGCGGGGTGGATGGGACGAAGTATGACGGTGCAGGTGGGACGGAATCTCGCGGCGTGCGGCCAGTAGGTATTGAACGGGCAGCCTAGGGGTAGGTATCACGAGAGCCGGGGCACAAAAAGGAAGTGCAGGCAGGTCCTGGGTGGGCTGGGTGACGGCAGCCGAGCGGGTGCCTAGCGAATAAAAAACCAGGCGGCCGACAATGATGTCTGTTAACAGCAGACTATGACGGACAGACCTTCTATCGACTTCTGCCAGGGAAGAGAAAGCGCCGTCACCCATACCGGTTCTTGGTCAGCTCAGGCCCGTGTGATATGATGGCGCTTGACTCTTACAGGGGGATGGGGTTTGGGGTTTGGGTATCGGGCCTTGCTGCTGACCTGGAGCCGAGCAAGGCTGGGCCAGCCACACAATTTGGGCCTTTTGTTCGGGCAGGGACCTACGCAAGCAAACACGCGCACACGCACACGCACACACACTTGTTCTTTCTCTGGTGCTACTGCTGTTCCTGCTGCTGCTGCTGTTTTTGCTGCTCCGCTGGTTGCGTGCAGGTTCTGGAAAACAGCAGAATGCAAAGAACCGGGAGAAGGCAGCAGGCGGGACAACAGAGCAACAGAAGGGCGCGGGGTGCTGGGTCTAGGTCTAGCTATCTTCCAGCCCGATCAGAAAATGGGGCTTTAACTGCTGCGGCTGCGACACACAGACGCGGGCTGCTGTTGTTGGAAACCTGTTCTGCGACTTGTCCATGTGGGCTCGCGGGCTCCATCCAAGTGCGCAGAATGGTGGGGGATTGGGCTGGGCGGGCAGCCAGGACGAGGACGGGACATACAGTGTCTGTGGGCTTGTGGCTGCTGTGCGGGAAGCGCAGTCGGCGGCCGAGCTGGGGGATTCAAATCCTGTTTTTCGAGCTTGTTTCCGGCAGGGAAAGGGGTCGGAGGGAAAGAAAGAAAAAAAGGAAAGAAAATATGCGCGACGGATTTCGGGCGGGCGCGCACATGGGTTTATTTGGTTGCTTCTTTTCCGCATTTTTGCGGCTCACAGTTGGTCGAGCGAGGGGTCCGGCCGGGGAGCTGTCTCCATCCCAGGGTTGTGGTATGACGTCGTAGCAGGCGTCATCTTGGTCCCGCTATCAGGCTCCATCGCCAAAATGGGTCTGCCGCTACCCACCCGTGACCTCGGCCTGGCATGTTCTTGTTTTGCTGGGAGAAGTGCGAGAGCAAAAAAAAAAAAAAAAATAGCTCTCTGGAATAAAATTTGCAAAACGCGATCCTTCAGACAAACATTTCACGCCATGCCGTGGAAGCCTCTTGTTCCAGCTCGGCGGCCTCAGACATTCCTTTAATTTTTACTCTCCCTGGGTACACACGACCTCGACTTTCCAGACGCATGTTGGAGCACACACACAAAGTCGGGCAGCCGTGCTGCGTCAAACTAATTAATGGGACCGGCCTAGATGCAAGCACTTCGCGTGCTTTGCCAGTCCAACACCTCGTTCCACCTGGTTCCCCTGACGAATATGTGCCATGATAAGGATGCCATGAATCGCGCCAGGGACGTCTTACCAGGACTCTTACCTGATAAATTCCCCACGAGCCTGTTTACAGTAATTCCAAAGCATAAACGTGTTGTGCCAACAGCGAAA